TAGGAACTTAACTTTTGTTTATATCAATCAGCCTATGGTAAAACTGGTTTCCTTATCTGTCATTTCACCTATGACCACAGTTTCCAAGAACCATCAATGACATTAAGTGAGAACTTACTGTGTATGCCTATATATGATTGTCTCGTCTTTGCAAAATTGGAGAATGTCAATTCTCTAATACAATGAATAATTTTCTAACTATAAGTTATTACTTTCATATACAAAAATTTTAACCATGAAGAGGAAAAAACTGAAGATGAAAACTTTTCGAGATTAAAGTCCAGCAAATATTTAAATCTTTTAACAAGCAAAGAATCACTTGTAATTATCCTTTCAGGGCCTCAATGAAAATTACAATAAAGGACAGAAAAAAAAGCATTTATTCATACTTCTTGGGCTGTGAACACACAAACTTGCACAGGGTCAAAGAGCACAAGTGTTCTCAATCTACACCACCACCTGGTGGCGGAGAGAGACAGTGGCGCAGCTTCCACCATCTCCTTTGAAGTCTCCACAGGGTGGGAACAGACTCATCATGACCTTTTCCCCTTCCCCTCTCCACCACCCCACCACCCCACTTCCTTTTCCACATTCATTGGGTAAACAATTCATATGTTTGGTGCAAAAGAAAGCAGTAAAAGAGGAAAAGAGAAAAAAAAAAAAAAAACATGGACATATCAGGGAAATGAAGTAAAATGGAAGGTGTAAATTCAAGTAGTTCAATCGAAACATTAAATGTGAACTGATTTAACACTTCAATTAAAAGGGAGGCTGTTCTCCCCCTGGATTTAGAAAAAAACAAACAACTATATGGTGTCTAAAAGACACACTTTAGATTCAAAGGCACAAACAGATTGAAGGTAAAAGGAGGGAAAAGATGGATCAGGCAAACAGAAATCACAACATGGAGCGGTTCTGCTGATAGCAGACAAAAATGTATCTTCACCAGGAAATGTTCCTAGAGATACGGATAATTCACAGAATACAGGAGAGTATTTGTAATCTCAAACATAAGAGACTTGTACCCAGAATATAATGAACTCCTACAACTCAGTAATAAAGACAACCCAATTAAAAAATGAGCAAAGGGTTAGAATACACAATTCTCCAAAGAAGAAATGCAAATGGCCAAAAAACACAGGAAGGGAAAAGCAAATCAAAACCATAATGAGATACCACTTCACGTGCACTAGGAGTAACGTAAAAACAACTTTAAGAAAAAGAGGCACAAGTGTCCGTGAGCACACGGAGGGAGAGCGTGGGGCCCTCAACCACTTCTGGTGGGAATGTTAAATGATTTCACTCTCTGAAAAACAGTCTGACAGTTCCTCAAAAGGAGAAAACAGTTACCACATGACCCAGTAATTCCACACCTAGGTATACACCCAAGAAAATACACACCCACATAAAAACTTGAACATGAAATGTTCGTAACAGAATTTTCCATAAAAGTCAAACAATAAAAACCACCCAAGGCTAGGGGTAGTGACTTACATTTGTAATCTCAGCACTTTGGGAAGCCGAGGCAGGTGGATCACCTGAGGTCAGGAGTTCGAGACCAGACTGGCCAAAATGATGAAACCCCGTCTCTACTAAAAATACAAAAAATTAGCCAGGCGTGGTGGTGGGCGCCTGTAATCCCAGCTATTTGGGAGGCTGAGGCAGGAGAAGCGCTTGAACCTGGGAGGCGGAGATTGCAGTCAGCCAAGATTGTGCCATTGGACTCCAGCCTGGGCAACAAGAGCGAAATTCCAGCTCAAAAAACAAAAACAAAAACAAAAACCCCACCATAATGTCCATCAATGATCAGTGGATGAGTGGAAAACAAAATGAAAAATGTAGTATATCAGCCAGGTGCAGTGGCTCACACCTATAATCCCAGCACTTTGGGTGGGATTACAGGAGTTTGAGACCAGCCTGGCCAATGTGAGAAAATCCAGTTGCTACTAAAAATACAAAAATTAGTCAGGCGTGGTGGCATATGCCTGTAGTCCCAAGCTACTCAGGTGGCTAAGGCATGAGAGTTGCTTGAACCTCGGAGGTGAAGTTGCAGTAAGCCAGGATGGTGCCATGCACTCCAGCCTGGGTGACAGAGCAAGACTTTCTCCCCCAACCCCCCAAAAATAGCCAGGCGCGGTGGCTCATGCCTATAATGCCAGCACTTTGGGAAGCTAAGGAGAGTGGATCACCTGAGGTCATGTGTTTGAAACCAGCCTGACCAATATGGTGAAACCTCGTCTCTACTAAAAATACAAATATTAGCTGGGTGTGGTGGTGGGCACCTGTAGTCCCAGCTACTCGGGAGGCTAAGACAGGAGAACTGCTTGAACCCAGGAGCCAGAGGTTGCAGTGAGCCAAGATGGTGCCACTGCACTCCAGCCTAGGCAATAGAGGAAGACTCCATCTCAAAAAAATAAATAAATAACTAAAATCAAATATGTATTAAGCATTAAATGATATACATTTTATTGGGTATAATAATGGTACTACAGTTACATATTTTTAAATGTCTACATTAATAACTTCTAGTCTAAGAATAGAGTTCCCTTTTTAAATGTTTATTAGTTTATTTAAAGAAACTAGGTAATTTATCTTACAGAAGTGCCCAAGTGCCATTTTAACACATTCCTTTACCCCTCATATTTCCTGTGAACTGGTCAGTAGATCTAGAAGCTTGTATAGATCCGGATTCAATTTCTCTAGCAAAAATATTCCACGGGTGGTGCTTTACATTTCTTACTGGATTACATTAGAAGGCATGTATCTGATCATCCCACGTTTTTAGTCAGTTAAGATACATATGGAAGGATTTACATATAAAATAATATGTCTGAGATTTGGTATAAAATAGTACAGCAAAATAACAAAAAAAGTATGGAGAGATAAACAAGAATGGCAGCATGTTGAGGCTAGTTGAAGGTTGGTGATAGGCATGTGACAGTTTAAATATTTCTAAAATATTGTTTTTTAAAAATCTGGCTCCTACCTAAACCTCCAAAGCCTCATCCCTTGGCCAGATGCGGTGGCTCACACCTGTAATCCCAGCACTTTGGGAGGCTGAGGCGAGTGGATCACCTAAGGTCAGGTGGGCCAACATAGTGAAACTATCTCTATCAGAAATACAAAAATTAGTTGGGCATGGTGGCACACAACTCTAATCCCAGAGACTCAGAAAGATGAGGCAGAAGAATCGCTTAAACACAGGAGGCAGAGGTTTCAGTGAGCCAAGATCATGCCACTGCACTCCAGCCTGGACAACAGAGCAAGCCTTTGTCTCAAAGGAAAAAGAAAAAAGAAAAAAAAAGTCTCATCCCTTATTACCTCCTAATATGTACCCTATGTTCTGGCCATACTAAACTAAGTATTAATAGTATTTCCTCAAAAAGGCATACAATTTCACCCTCCACCTCTGCATATTCTAGTCAGCCTACCTAGAACACCCTTCTTTTTTGTCCTGGCAAACACCCAATCATCTTTCCAGACTTGGCTCAGATGTCACTTTCCTGAGAAAAACCTCTCTACCCTCCAGTCTCATACTAAGCTGGCTTTCCCTACTAATCCAATGGCTAATTCTAAAGGCACTGCAATTACATACCTGTCTACCACCCCAATTCAGACCATGAACGCCTTTAGTGTTGCTCAAAGTCTGCATAAAAGGACTTCCCAGAGGCCTGAAGTCTACCAGGAGAAGCTCCCGGAGAAGTCTTGAATAAACACACTGGGCCACTCTGTCCAACTGGGACATTCTGTCCCAACTATTCATACCTGCTAAGCAGAGAGGTACAAAGGTATCATCTCCAGAACAGTAGGAAGGACGAAAGCTCAGAGAGGAATAAGATCCCTGAGAATATCCAGGGAAGCTTCTTAGTCCTAGTGGAATTCTTACTATTCGCAAATGCTACCACCCACAGTGGCATGATCGATCGGGAACCTAGCACACAGCTCCTCAGAACGGAAATGCGTATGTATCCTTTGGAAACCTAGTTTAAGATGCAGATTCTGAATCAGTAGGACTGAGATTCTGTGTTCCAGGTACTGCTGATGCTGCAGGTCTGCACATCACACTTTAACTTGAAGGCTTGGGGGGTCTGGGAAGTGAGCCCTTTCTCAGGGAACAGGCAGCATTAACTTCTTTCCTCTGTATTACTCATCTCTTTTTAGCTTATACATCATGTCCTTAAAAAAACAAAAGCAGTCAAAAAATCAAAACTCTTAATTCTTCTGCATCTGCTGGCCTCTTTCTTCCAACATATATAATGGTTCTACTGTGACAATGATGCCATGTCATTCAATTCCATTTTCCAAGCCTGGGAATGACAGTCCCTCAATAAACGCCCATGAAATCATACTATATCTAACAGAAGGTTCCCAATCTATAATGGTTGGACTTAATGCTTTTTCAACTTTACAATGGTGCAAAACCATTCTGTTTTTCACTTTCAGTACAGTATTCAATAAATTACATGAGATACTCAATATTCTGTTATAAAATAGGCTTTGTGTTAGAGAATTCTGCTTAACTGTAGGCTGATGTAAGTGTCTGAGCAGGTTTACAGCAGGCGAGGCTAAGCTGTGACGTTCAGTAGGTTAGGGGTAGGTATTTCTGATTCATTTCTTGTTAAGATATTTTTGCTTATTAGTCTGTCTTTCCCACTTGATTATCAGTTTCTTGAAGAGAGAGGTTTTTCCTTTTGTTCTGTGGCACACACTCTGGCACACGATGGGTACTCAGTAAATGACGGTTAACCTAGGGTTGATGACTGACCATATAAACCACTACATTCTGGTTCCTAAAGAAAACACTAAGAACACATCCTGAATTTGCAATCCTTTTTTCTAAGGATTTAAAATGCTCATATGTATGACTCGTGAGTGTTCACAAAAGTTCAGTAATACATACTGAAAGGGTCAACAGCTTCCTCTGACAAGAAAATGGCACATATTATACTTCTTCCCAGACAACCTTATCAACACAGAAAACAGCAGTTAACAAACAATACCTCAGTCTTCCCACATTCATCAGGCGGATCCTGGTGTATGGCCACTTGATACTTGACATACAAAGAAAAGGACTGGCTGAAGGACGACTTGAACTCTGGGTCCTCAAAGGAGACAGGTACTAACCTCACCTTCAGAGCAAGGAAAATACAAGCAAATGCTATTGAAACATCTCTAACTGAGGACATGCTTCTGAAGGTGAGGCTAGAGTAAGATCTCCGCAAATCCACACCAAAGCTCAAACTGGAATTTGTCATGCAAAGAAACCTCAGACTGGGTGGACTGGTGCAGAGACTGAAGTGCTACCTCTGTACTGAAACTTAGGAAAATGTCAAACTCGTACGAGCCAAGAGCCAACAATTGGTGGTTGTTTTTTCCTCTATCCACCTATTGTAGTTTTCTGCATAGAGTCAATATTGTTGCTAACAGTGGTCATAATCACTACTTTTGCCACCTCTATTTATACTAAGTGTTTTAAGCTTTTTTTTCCTTTCCAGATTTTTCTTGGGTCATTTAATTTATAAAATTATTAGCATATGAATTCTTCTATTAAAACATTCTACTAACTTCCTTTTCTAGTCCCACTCAATTATGCAAGGGTAGCAGATTAACAAAGAATAATTTAATTGTGATGAATTCTTTCTACATTAGTCTTTCAAATACAAATAAAACATTATAATCACGTTAGACAAAGTATATATCTACCATAAAAATATCAAGTTTCCTGCCTTTTCCACATAGATATTTTAATTTAGCGTTCTGCTGCTATCTTTTAGATAAATGCCTCCAAAATAGTGACTTTAAATAATTTTACACATAACTTTCCACTCTGAAATTATACATGACTGGCACTTCACATGGCACTCGGTCAAATTCGCACTTTCAGAATGTCCATTAATTCAGTCTTACGTCTTTGCAGATATGTTGCAAATTGAACACAAATAAAATGTAGCACAAATAAACCAAGATTTCATTAAATGATATTAAGTGAAAGGGAAAGCTTTGTTTGCATAGGAAAATTACACTTGGTCTGCTGACCTGGCTCTCAGTTGGCGTATCAGGTGAGTTCTTGTGAATAACCATCTGGTAACGTTTATAGACCTGGTAAGACTCCAGAAGTGTGGCTTTGAACTGCGAACTTGGTGGAGATGATCTCACCACCCTCACCTTCAGAAGCAGTTAAAAAAACAATGTTCACTAATTCACTCATTTACTCATTTTGTGGAATATGCATTAACAGTAACTCCCATCCAAGAAACCAAGTTTCAACAAATTATTAAGGCACCTAAATATAATATTTTAATATTAAAAACCAGTTAGTAAATAAAGAAAAATGTTATTTTTGTAGCGTACAGACTCATTAAGACAGAGGAGGATCCCCTTGAAATTCTCAGCCTCAGCTTTCATGACTGAATTATGTAAGCCTGCCTCTACTGTAAACTGTTAGAGTATTTCTTGCACTCATACACACATATGACACACAAATACTCTCTAGTTATATACAACTCACCATCAGTAACTCTCAGAAAGACTAAAAATATGAACACAGTTTTTGGACACTCATTCATCATTGCTAACTCTAAACTTAAACTCTACTGTTTAAGTATAAAAGACCTCATAAAGTATTCCTATTTCATAGCATAGTTAACATGTATGACTGTGAATCACATTTCCTTTGTTCAAATCTTATAGTCAAATAGCCTCTGTGCCTTAGTTTCATCAAATGTAAAATAAAGATAAGTTTAAAATAGTAATTGCATGCAGCAATGGCTAATTTTTTTTTAACATTATTTACTAACCACTTAAAGTGTATTAGCAAAACAGAACAGTCAAATGCAATGCAATGCAAACAACTGGAAACTCGACCTGTGCGAAGAAAGAGTGACACCTAGTGGTGAAAGATTTCCATACATCCTGAGTATCATTACATTCAAAAAGTAAAAGTGACCACTGGGGGGGGAACTGTTAAGTGTGCTTGGCCCCCGGAATACATTACTATTTATGATCAAAAGATAAAAGACACTTCATAAAATTTTTTTTTCTTTTTCTTCTTCCTGTTGATTTGCATGTAAAATATTTTAAGCAGTGTATTCAACTCTCTTTAGAATTTTGGAAGGACAAAAACTCAGTATCCAAATTAAAGTAGCCAAGGAGTTAAAAAAGCTAAAATCTATGTGTAATAATACATAGATTGAATTTGGGCTTAGAATGCATGAAAGTTAATTTTTATTATCAGGACTTTAGTGATAAGTGATATTCTTAGATGATACTAATCTACAAAATTCAAAGGCTGACCAGCAACTAATCATGTATGAGAATCAGATAAAAATCATTATGGCTAATATTTTTTATTTATTTTATTTTTTTGAGACAGAGTTTTGCTCTGTCACCAGGCTGGAGTGCAGTGGCATGATCTCGGCTCACTGCAACCTCTATCTCCTGAGTTCAAGTGATTCGCATGTCTCAGCCTCCCAAATAGATGGGATTACAGGTGTATGCCACCATGCCTGGCTGATTTTGGTATTTTTCGTAGAGACGAGGTTTCACTGTGGTGGCCAGGCTGATCTCAAACTCTGGACCTCAAGAGATCTGCCCACCTCAGCCTCCCAAAGTGCTAGGATTACAGGTGTGAGCCACCACACCCAGGCCTTGTTTTTGAATTTTATATATGAGAAACTAATATTGAGAAATCTTGATCTGATCTAGAAATGTAAATAAATTTGGGAAAAAGGAGGAATTTGATTCTGAAAGTATTCATATTATGCCCAAATTGGTCTGGGCATTAATGAGAGAAGATTTCAGCAGTACAATTTAGCACCATTTAGAGAATTCCTAACTGCTGGCTTATGTATGTGACAATATTTGCTATCTTTATCAAGCTCAGAATATTGTAATGGATAAAATAGTGTTTGTCTTGTGTAATCTACTCTCTTTCACTAAACCAAAACTGCTAAAAATACAATTTTAAGGAGTATTTCTTTCACTTTACTAAATTTCGATCAAAGTAACGTGCTAAAATTGAGTTTTCACAAGTTAAGTAGCCAACTATCTAAAGTATTCTCAGTCTTTTTAAAATAAGGGAGCTACTCTCAAATAGCAGTTAACTTAGTATATACAAATGTTACTTCTTCCCAATTCTCTTTAATTTCTCATTATTTAACTAGAAAAACATCAACTGGTTAGAACTTCAAATAAAAATAAACAAGATGCCCAAACAAAAAATAATAAAACAAATAACAAAAGTCCTCCAAAGTACCTCTAACTTGTGTGATGCGTTCTCTGGTAAAGATTCAAAAATTAAATCTTCAAGTGCTTTGGGCTGGTTGGAGTTAGCCTTTGCTGGAAACAAAGATGGCGGCTGCCCTTGAGCCTGGAACCCGTCCTGTCCTCCAGCTGGGTTCTGCTGCAGGAGTTTTAACCTTCTCCTTTCTTTCCGGATCTCCTTTGCTTTTCGACAGGGAGGCTTACTCAAATCAGCCCCTTTGCCTAAAAAGAATTTTAAAATGTTAGACCAATCATACTTGGTTCTGGAAAAGTTTTTTCACATGTCTCAAAGATTCTACAGAGTTCAGTCCAAAGCATTCCAATGGTTAGGCTAGCTTTGGGGTGGATGTTTCTGAGGATCCGGATACAGAGCTGTAAGTTGATTTAAAATTCTACCTTAGAAGCAGGAGTTGCCAAAGAAAAGTAAATATGGCACAGAAACTTTCCCAGGAGGCTCTTACTGCTGAAAATATTTTCTTTAAAAAACACATCCATCCACTTCTCTGCCTCTGTAAGGAAGAATGTAATCAAATCAAAGTATCTCCAGCTTTAAAAGGACACTGCTATCTCTGCCCAACCTTTCTGAGGGCCATTTCTCTGAAAGCACTGCTAACATACATAAATGCTTAGGAAGAACCAGGTGTAAAGGAATACTGATCCCAGCACAAACTCTGGCAGGATTTTTTAAATGAAAAGAATCCTTGCATGCCTGTAATTCTAGCACTTGGGAAGCTAAGCAGTCAGATCACCTGAGGTTGGGAGTTTGAGACCAGCCTGGCCAACAGAGTGAAATCCTGTTTCTTTTTTCTTTTTTTTTTTTTTCTTTGAGACGGAGTCTCGCTCTGTCACCCAGGCTGGAGTGCAGTGGCACGATCTCAGCTCACTGCAACCTCCGTCTGCTGGGTTCAAGCAATTCCGCTGCCTCAGCCTCCCGCGTAGCTGGGACTACAGGCGCGCACCACCATACCCAGCTAATTTTTTGTATTTTTCGTAGAGATGGGGTTTCACCATGTTGGCCAGGCTGGTCTCAAATTCCTAACCTCATGATCCATGTACCCCAGCCTCCCAAAGTGCTGGGATTACAGGCGTGAGCCACCGCGCCCGCCCATAAAACCCTGTTTCTACTAAAAATACAAAAATTAGCCAGGTGTGGTAGCGTACACCTGTAATCCCAGCTACTCAGGAGGCTAAGCATGAGAATCACTTGAACTCGGGAGGCAGAGGTTGTAGTGAGCTCAGATGGCACCACTGCACTCCAGCCTGGCCAACAGAGTGAGACTCTGTCTCCAAAAAAAAACCAAACAAACAGAATCGTTGCTTAATTGAAGGTGTCTGTGTCCTCCCCCAAATACTGCAGGTATTTAGGTCTCATTAGTTCAGTTATAGTTCATCAAAGTTTTGTTCTAATTAAAGACAAAATATCAAACTGACAACCCTTTAAAATTAAAATTTTGACTAATATAAACTAAGTAAAAATACTTAGATAAAAGCCTGGAAAGAAGCCTGACACCATGGTAACAGTCATTTTACTTCATTTCAGAAACAGAGAAAGGGTTTGTAGTGTTCTCTTTTCTCCAAATTTCTAACGATGAATATTACACTAGTAACTTCTAGAAGATATGAACTAAAGCGATAAGCTATTTAAGATCCCAGAACATGGTATTCACAGACCATATAAAAGTCAGCGAAAAGGTTTATAAAACTAGCAAATTCCGTTTTTAGAGAGAAGAAAATCAAAACCTAGAGTGGTGAAAGGACTTGCCTGAGACCATAAACTGATCAAATGAAAACCAATCTGATGAGAAAACAGTGAGTTCACAAATAGTTCAGACTAGGTCACGGCTTCACTAGCATGTTTTCTAACTAAAAATAAAGTTTATTTAAAAAAAAAAAAAAAAGGACTCTGAATAAGCCTAAGTTACATAAGTCTGAACCAGGCAACAAAAGACCATTTCTGTAACTGACTGTTTACTGCCTAACAGAATTACTTTTCTTGGACCACAGACAGTCTTTTCTCAAATTTGCTCTGAGCACACACACTCCAACACAAGCCGCCTGAGGTCATGGACCAGGCTCTGTCAGTTGGCTAGATGACCTTGGGCACATTTCTCTGTCTGTACAAGGAAGACAAAAACCACCAGTCTTACCTACAGAGTTCCTGTGAGGATTAAATGAGTTAATACCTGTGCAGCTCATAAAAAAATTAACTACCATTCAGCCAAGTGCAGTGGTTCATGCCTGTAATCCCAGCACTTTGGGAGGCCAAGGTGGGCAGATCACCTGAGGTCAGGAGTTCAAGACCAGCATGACCAACGTGGAGAATCCTCATCTCTACTAAAAATACAAAATTAGCTGGGCGTGGTGGACCATGCCTGTAATCCCAGGTACTTGGGAGGCTGGGGCAGGAGAATCACTTGAACCCAGGAAGTGGAGGTTGTGGTGAGCCAAGATCATGCCATTGCCATCCACCCTGGGCAACAGGAGTAAAACTCCAACTCAAAAACAAAAAAATTAACTACCATTCAATTAGGGTTAGCTATTACTAGCTATTATTTGCATTACTAACATCTAAAATAATGTTTTACCTGTATAAACATTCCAAAAATAGTAATTTTCAAAATCTTCCATTTTCTATACTGAAAATTACATTCTCTACAAGTTATAAAATTATAAACAAATGTAAAACCAATGTGAACTAAGAAACACAAATTTTCAGTATTTTTATGAAAAACTGTCTTTCTGTGTCATCTTTACACTAATTAAGTCACTGGGCTAGGTAAGCCTTCTCATGATTGTTTTTCTCCACATTTATATACTACATTACTACAACAGAAAGTAGAGTTTTAGGCAGGGCTCAGTAGCTCACACCTGTAATCCCTGCACTTTGGAAGGCAGAGACGGACAGATCACCTGAGATCAGGAGTTTGAGACCAGCCTGGCCAACATGGTGAAACCCTGTCTCTACTAAAAATACAAAAAATTAGCCGGGAGTGTTGGTACACACCTGTAGTGCCGGCTACTCAGGAAGCTGAGGCAGGAGAATCGCTTGCACCCAGGAGGTAGAGGCTGCAGTGAGCTGAGATCACACCACTGTACTCCAGCCTGGGTAACAGAGAGAGACTCCATCTCAAAAAAAGAAAAAAGAAAAAAAAGTAGGATTTTGCCATATTAGGGGATATCATATTTTATGAACCTCCCAGGTCAATAAATTCCTTTGACAGAATGGAAATAGATCATTGGTGTAAAATCAGCACACTATACCAACCCTGCACTCACAGAGGTTCAAAGCAATTGAAGAATTCCAAATTAGTCCCAAGTGATTTGAATAGAGTTTGGCACTGCATAATTTCTAATTAAGTCCAAGGGAATAGACTTGTAACATTTTTTTAGATTAAGATGAAAATGCAGGCTAGCCATGGTGGCTCAAGTCTATAATCCCAGCACTTTGGGAGGCCAAGATGAGAGCCCAGGAGTGCCCAACCAGCCTGGGAAACAGAGCAAGACCTCATTTCTACAAACAACTTTTTGAGGCCAGGTTTGATAGCTCACACCCATAATCCCAACACTATGGGAGGCCGAGGCAGGCAGATCACTTGAGTCCAGGAGTTCAAGACCAGCCTGAGCAACATGGTGAAACCCCATCTCTACTAAAAATACAAAAAATTAGCTAGGTGTAGTGACATGCACTGATTAGTCCCAACTACTCCGGAAGCAGAGGCGGGAGAACTGCTTGAGCCCAGGAGGTCAAGGCTACAGTGAGTCCTGATTGTGTCACTACACTCCAGCCTGGGAGACAGAGTAAAACCTTGTCTCAAAAATAAAAAATAAAAAAATAAAAAGGAAATGCAGTTTTGCTTTTGCAGGTTCCTAAAAACATGCAAAAGCAAACAGAGGCAGAATTGCTTGAATCCAGGGGGCAGAGGTTGCAATGAACCAAGATGTCACCACTGTACTCCAGCCTGAGTCAGCCTCCAAGTATAGTGGTGAAATCTCTGCTCATTGAAACCTCCCCGCTGGGTTCAAGTGATTCTCCCACCTCCGCCTCCTGAGGAGCAGGGATTCCAGGCAAGCACATCCACGCCTGGCTAGTTTTTGTATTTTTAGTAGAGATGAGGTTTCACCACATTGGCCAGGCTGGTCTCCAACTTCTGACCTTATGATCCACCCATCTCAGCCTCCTAAAGTGCTAGGATTACAGCTGTGAGTCACTGCACCCGGCCAAAATCCAAGGATTTTAAAACAGTCTCAGGTTTTTAGTGAAAGACATGTTGCTTATTTTTGGAGGCAGAATCTCACTCTTTTGCCCAAGCTGGAGTGCAGTGGCACGATCTCAGTTCACTGCAACCTCTGCCTCCTGGGTTCAGGCGATTCTCCCACCTCAGCCTCCCAAGTAGCTGGGATTACAGGCATCTGCCATCATGCCCAGCTAATTTTTTGTATTTTAGTAAAGATGGGGTTTCACTGTGTTGCCCAGGCTGGTCTCAAACTCCTGACCTGGTGATCCACCCGCCTCGGCCTCCCAAAGTGCTGGGACTACAGATATGAGCCACCGTGTCCAGCCAAAAGATATCTTAAAGGGCGGGGGAACCTGCAAAAATAGTTTTTAATGTTGCAGTAACCATAATGCTGAGAGTAAGGTTGTCATTATAAAACTGCTGTGTAACATGGGAAAAAGCAAAAGGTTAAGGTGTGATATTCTAGTCTAATTCTACCATCCCCCGTGTTCCTGAGAACTAGGTTTCTCAGGGTAGAAGAAAGAAACTACAAAGGTCAAAAAAAAAAAAAGAAAAAGATAAAATGTATGGCCGGGCGCAATGGCTCATCCCTGCAATTCCAGCACTTTGGAAGGCTGAGGCAGGTGGATCACTTGAGGCCAGGAGTTCAAGACCAGCCTGACCAACATGGCAAAATCCCTATCTCTACTAAAAATACAAAAATTAGCGAGGTGTGGTGGTGTACACCTGTAGTCCCAGCTACTCAGGAGGCAGAGGTGGGACAACCACTTAAACCAGGGAGGCAGAGGTTGCAGTGAGCCAAGATGGTACCTCATTCTAATGAATGAATTTAAGCATGGAATATCCACGACTATTAGTACTAAAAAGAGAGGCACCCAGCCATTACATGTCCCCTGAAAGACCACTCTAAACCCATGAAGTAATCTTGCCCATCCTCAAATAATTGAAACTCAAATCTGATTAAGACTTGCCACCCTGTGCCGGGCGCGGTGGCTCAAGCCTGTAATCCCAGCACTTTGGGAGGCCGAGGCGGGTGGATCATGAGGTCGAGAGATCGAGACCATCCTGGTCAACATGGTGAAACCCCGTCTCTACTAAAAATACAAAAAACTAGCTGGGCATGGTGGTGCGTGCCTGTAATCCCAGCTACTTAGGAGGCTGAGGCAGGAGAATTGCCTGAGCCCAGGAGGCGGAGGTTGCGGTGAGCCGAGATCGCGCCATTGCACTCCAGCCTGGGTAACAAGAGCGAAACTCCGTCTCAAAAAAAAAAAAAGGGATAGCACAATGTCTGGGATTGCTTCGATATAATTTTGGAAGGGGGAACTGGATGAAACAAGAGTGGCTATCGTGAGTCGGTAATCGTTTCAAATGCAGGTAGAGTACATGAAGTCCATTATACTATTCAATCTCTGTTCACCTGTGTTTGAATAACAAGATTTTAAAAACTGACAAACCATAAGTAATTTTATTTAAAAAAGAATAAATAAAAGAATTGACCCTACCTCCAAGAGAGAAATCGTTGAAAGAAACTGTCTAAATCATTCAAAATATTTTACTAGGGGCTGGGCACAGTGGCTCACACCTATAATCTCAACACTTTGAGAGGCCAAGGCAGGAGGATAACTTGAGGTGGGGAGTTGGAGACCAGCCTGGGCAATATCGTGAGACCCCATCTCTACAAAATATTTTAGAATAGCTAGGCATGGTGACAAGTTCCTGTAGTTCCACCTACTCAGGAACCTAAGGCAAGAAGAAAACTGGCCCCAAAAGCTCAAGACTGTCGTAAGCTATGATCACACCACTTCACCTCAGCCTGGGCAACAGAGCAAGACCCTGCCTCGGATTTAAAAACAAATATTTTATTGAACTATTACCATTAATTAGGATGAAATCTCAGATTTCATGGTATTTAAATCTCATGGTATTTAAAATCGATTTAAATACCATGAAAACTTCATGTAAAGAACTATTCAATAAAACTGCAAATGGAGAATTTTCTCTACTTTAACATGTGTAACATAGTTTAGACAAGAAAAACTAAAACAGCACTAAAAGTCTTTCCCTTGGATCATTTTCCATAAACATAAGAACTAATTCAAAACTGATGCCATGTAACGAACTAACAACATCCAACTTCACATTTTATGAAATAATTTTGAGAGTCATACATACACATATTAAACCCATTTAATACTGGATAAACTTTATAAGTCTTATTCTTGTATAAGTAATGACATAGAAAAAAAAAAAATCTTACCTGACAAAAGGCAAAGTTAAACATCAAAATCTGGACATTTTAAAACTAAAATATACTACAATTGCATTTAAAATTTAATGATAAACTGAAGAATCTTATAATGTATTTTGGACATAATACCTGTAAGTCATGTTGTCTCTTAAAATAAGAATGTTTATCACAACTTTTCACTGACAAAAATTTGATTCTCAACCCTGTAAGGCTCTAAATTTTAAAATGTCTGTATTTAGGGATAAGGCTATTATTTCATGCTTTTCAAGCACAGTAGTTTGTAAAAGGCATGATTTGTCTATCTAATTCTAGCCAGTAATAAATAAAGCAGGGTTCTGTTTTACAGATTGCTTGAATAAGTCATCCTTTTGCCTGATGGAAAGACCCAGGGTTTAAAACGATTCAGCAAAAAGAAAAGCAGTGAATAGGCCTTGACACAAAAAATCTTTACTACCTGGCTTAGGAACTGTGTGAACTTTAACTGAATGTGATGGTTCACCGGAGCCCAACTTCTCTCCTGCGAAATCTTGTGACTGAAGTAACTCATGAGGTTCTTCTTTCTTGGAGTTTTTTCCTTCACTCTCTAAACTCTCTTTGAGGTCATCACTGAGCGTTTTAAGATCACACTGTATATCCAATTTATTTATCAATGCAAAGTCACCCGCAACAGCATCATCCACTGTGGAATCCATGGGCTCATCTACAAATCAGAAGAAATCAAAAATCCATCAGCTGGGTCATTTGATACAGTTAAGATAAATACAGAAATAAAATGCCCCTATTGCCCATTGTGGCAGAATTACTATCTGGCCACCAAATCCACTCTTATCCTCCAAAGTAAGACCGCTGCACTTAAGACTCTGGCACAGTTGGGCATGGTGGTTCATGCCTGCAATCCCAGCTCTTTGGGAGGCCAACACAGGAGGACTGCTTGAGGTCTTGAGGCCAAGAGTTTAAGACCTGCCTAGGCAACATAGGGAGACACTAGCTCTACAAAAAATTAAAAAAAAAAAAAAAATGTGGCACCCTAGCAGGGTAATGTACTACCAGACTCTTTACCAGAGGTGACCAAGCTCCTCCCAATGGAACATAACATAACTGATACTTCCAACTGTGCTTTATTAGTTTTAAAGGAAACTTGTGACCCTGAACGTCTACCCTTTTCCCCCAATGGCTAGATTAGTAAAAAACCACAGCAACCTGGGAAATCACGTTAAGAAAGTCCCAGAATGGCTGGTGGGGAGCAGAGCTGTAGCCAACCTAGAACACTCAAACTGAACTATTATGTGAGGAAAGAAACAGACTTTTATCTTTTTTTTTCAGTTATTGCATTTTGGTATCTTTGTCATAGCTGTTTATTCCTTTACCCTAATGATTACATCACTCCTAAGAATTAAGTTCCAGGCACAGGTAATTCAGAAGCCTATAACAAGTCAAATAAAGAACCAACTGTAAACACTACATAGGAAAGACAAGCAACCACCAACTACCAATTTACAAGTAGACAGCATCTTGAACGCTTAGCTCCATGTGAATTTTTTTCTTTTTTTTCAGACAGAGTCGTGCTCTATCACCTAGGCTGGAGAGCAGTGGCATGATATTGCCTCACTGCAGTCTTGACCTCCCTGATTCTCATGCCTCAGCCTTCCGAGTAGCTGGGACTACATGTACCACCATGACTGGCTAATTTTTGTATTTTTAGCAGTGACAGGGTTTTGCCATGTTGCCCAGGCTGGTCTCTAACTCCTGGGCTCAAGGGATCCTCCCAACTTGGCCTCTCAAAGTGCTGGGATGACAGCTGTGAGCCACCATGCCCAGTCCAGAACATGATTCCTGGTCACCAAAATACTTGTAAATTGACTAGTCAACAAAATCTATTTTACCTTTAAGATTATGCACCACAATATTTATCAGAGATACACCAAAATTCTGATGTTTCTGATGCTCTAAGTGCCCCTGAACCTCTAAAAGACGTCTGGCCTCTTTGTTGACCCAGCTCTGCAGAGCTCCTCCAAGGTCCTGAATCCTGGTCCATTAAGAGCTGAGCGTGAGATTAAAGAACTTACCTGCCTTGCTGGTCACTGTACCTCCAGTATTTATTTAAACAGTGACTGAGGCATTGTAGGCATTCAAAACATATTTGTAGGGTCAGGTGTGGTGGCTCATACCCGTAAATCCCAGCAGTCAGGGAGGCTAAGGCAGGAGGACTGCTTGAGCCCAGGAGTTTGAAACCAGCCTGGGCAACATAAAGAGATCTTGTCTCTCTATTTTTTTTCTTTAAATAAAAAATAATTAAAAGAAAAACGTATTTGTGGAGTGAATGAATGAGCTAAGGCTAAAATGAGAGGGTCCCAGGATGAGGCATTTCCTATGGCAACAGTGAAGAGGAGCTCTAAGAACAGCAATCCCAATTTTTATGCTCACATGTCAGCCACTGCCAATAAGAAAACTTAAATAAAACCAAAAATAGTGAACAAACCTAAGGAAAAAAAAAAAAAAATCACCCGTAACCAAAGTTAAATGAATGCTATTAATTTTCTTTTAGCAAAGCCACTCAAAACTGATCAAAGAAGAGAACTGAAGACAGCATAATTTACTGAAGTAAAGCCTTATTCAAACAAAGACAATCTGATCTTTATTCACCATTAAAAGAACAGCGCAATTTTGTACAAGCTACATGTAAGCATTTGCTTCTTGAGAGACAATGCCACTTTCTATTTACTTCATAAAGATGGTATTAGGATCAAGAAAGATGAGTTATCAAAGCATTCTAGAAACTGACATTTGATAAACTCCAGGAAATCACATCTTTCACATGATCCTCTGTGTTCTTTCTAAACTCTTCTGATCCATATTCCCTATACCTTGATTTGGCGGCCGATGGTCACAGGAATAGCAGGGCTCACAGTAGCCACTGCCATCATAGTGCATGACCGTATTAACTACCCTTCCCCTACCTAACTTAAGATGACTGAAAGTGGGACCCCTGCAAACACAGACAGTAAATCGTTTTTAGACCCAGCCCATCTTACCCTTACAACTTCCTTTGGGAATCTCCCCTTTAGCCAGAAATTTCAACATTTTTTTCAAAACCTTCTTGTGAGATTTTGAAGGCTGAAACTGTAAAGGTCGGCACCTAGAAAGCAAAATAAATATTTAAAAAGTGAACTCAAACCTTGAAGAAATAAAATCAATTCTGGATATTATCTAGTACAATGAGACAACCCCATGCCTGAGATTTCTGGTTAAAGATGGGGCTTCATGTAGCCTCTAATCCAAGCCCACATCACACTAAGACTATAGTTGAGAGATATTTAAAAAAAAAAAAAAAAAAAAGAGAGAGAGAAAGACATAAAACACTAGAAAAAAGAGAAGGGGAGAACTGTTAGAAGCTGGAAAACAGATGTACAAGTGGCAATTCTGCTTTAACAAACCAAAGAAAGTTGAATCCCGGGGGCCAACAGTGGGAAAAAAAAAAAAAAAAGCCAATTTTCTCTATATTACCCTTAAAAGTCTTAGGGATTGCTGACACCTGATGCCTCTGGAAATATGAGTGCAAGTAGGTCTAAAAATAGAAATATCCCTTTAAGGTCTTGTTTTTAAAGCAGTTAGAACAGATGCAGATCCCCTCTCCCACACCAGGTTCCCCACTACTCAACCCAGCAGAAAACTGCAATATTTCAGGAAAGAGTAAAAAATAGAGCCTCTTACAGGATGGATGCAAGCCACAGCTGAAAGCAGCTTAAATGAAAGTGTACATAGTACATGTTGAGATCACCAACCCAGCCCCAGAACATCAGCAGGTTATGTAATACTTTCTCTCCGGAATGTGATCAGACCTAAAACACTAACGTCAGGGATTCCCCAACAGAACAGCCAGCCAGCTCACCCACAGTAAACAAGGCAAGAAATATCCATGGCCCACAATGAACAAAACTCATCAGGTACACAGAATTTCCAATGGAACACTGAAAAGTCATAATCACCAGACACTCAAGGAGAGTCTCTACTGAAAAAACAGGTACCAAACAAACTGGAAAAAGTAACTTGGCGGACACAGACCATGGCAGAAAGAAAAGAACCTTTTAAAAAAATCCTTAAAAAGATCTCATTTCTTAAGCCACTACACCCATAAAGTAACAAGGTTTTATCAAACAAACAAACAAACAAACAAGAGTCTGAGAACAAAAAGACCTTCAGAAGTAAAAATATGACAGAAGTTTAAAAATTAAGTAGAAAATCTGAAAACGAAAGTTGAAAAAACATCCCAGAAGAGTCTGCAAAAAAGAGATGAAAAACTGAAGAGAAAAGGTAAAGTCAGAGACCAGTTTAAATGGTCCAATATCTAAACAAACGCATTAAAAAAGAAGAAAATGGAGGTGAGAAGATAAAACAAAAAATTTTTTACATTTTCCCTTATCCTTAAAGGATAAGATGGGACAAGTTCCCAGGAAAGAAGAGCCCCTCCAGTTCCCCTGTGATTGACAAAACAGATACAGAACCAAACGGACTATGAAATGTAAGAACAGAGGATAGAAAAGCTTCCAAAGAGAAAGAACACATTTCAGACAAAAGTACGAGAATCAGAATACCACTGCACTTCTCAACGGTAATAAGACAATAGTGGAACAAAGCTTTCAAAATTCTAGGAAAATTATCTTCATCCTACATTCCTGTACCCTGCCAAACTAAAGTTTGAACAGTGAATCAATGTTTGCAGATACACAAGGTCTGAAAAATGTATCTCTTACGCACTTTTTCTATTACAAGTTTTGCTTCACTAAAACAAGGGAACAGTCCAAGAAGGAAGGTTTTCCAACTCAGGCACTAAAAAGAATCCCCAAGATGACAATAAAAAGAATAGTCCAGGCCAGGCGCGGTGGCTCACGCCTGTAATCCCTAAACTTTGGGAGCCCGAGGCAAATGAGTCACTTTAGGTGAGGAGTTCGAGACCAGCTTGGCCAACATGATGAAACCAACTCTACCAAAAATATAAAAATTAGTGGGCGTGGTGGCAGGTGCCTGTCCCAGCCACTCAGGAGGCTGAGCCAGGAGAATCACTTGAACCCACGAGGCAAAGGCTGCAGTGAGCTGAGATTACACCATTGCACTCCAGCCTGGGCAGCAAGAGCAAAACTTCAAGTCAAAAAAAAAACAAAGCTGATCATGATGCTTCAGGTCTGGGGGTAATCGTTCAGATCAAACCAGTCAGAAGGCTCCACAAACAGGTCAGAAGGCTCCACAAGAGACTTTTCTCCAGTAGATAAACATGATCATAGTGCTTGATGCATTTAAACACACTAAGAAGAAACTTACATAACTGGGATTTATTTTCAAAATCTTATTTTATCTGGTCATAGCTATTCAGACTATGCAATCAAAAAAGATAATTAGTAACTCTAAGGAGAGCAAAAACTTGTACAGGAAAGCAAAGGTAATCCTAGTACCCACCATGGCTCAGTTGCGAAGCATTATTTACACAGTCACAATGATGTGAATACATCTGCCCAAAATTATATGACTTCTAAATGGAAAGCTTGGGATGGAGACAAAAAAGAGCTTGAATGTGGCAGGGAAACAGGGGTGAGAGAAAACTAAATCCTTATCTTCCACAGAGAGAAGTCTGGAAATAATGGAGAAAACTAAAGAAAAAGAAAAAAAAAAAAAATCAAGGGTTACAATCATATAAGCATGTTACTTAAAGACAGGAAGATGAAAAACCAAAAGAATTAGTTCAAATGTTTTAAGATGACTGCCATGGGGGAACAGGAAATGGGAAAGGGGCGTTGCAGGACTGCTTTTTCCAAAACGAGCTTTACTGAAACTTGATACTTTAAATTATGTGCATGTGTAATTCTGATAAAAATAAAAACAAAACAAAACAAAAATCATAGCCAGAGAAGTTCATCCTCGTTTATACATACATACTGGGGAGTCCTGACTTCTTGTTTAAACAAGAAGCTAAACTGTAGCTATAAGCCCCTTTCCTTTATGTAAGTTCTCACTGTAACTACTGTTATATACAAGGTGAAAAATAACCAGAAGAGTAAACACGGAAAATGACTCCACAAGAAGAAGATATACAATGAAATTACAAAGAGAAGCAATTCAGGAAACATTTGATGCCATGTAAAATGCAAAAATCACGTAACTACTTTGGTTTTGCAATGTTCACTGAATTCCCTTTTATAAAGGCACTATACCTAGAATACTGCTTTCCATGTAACAGGCACCAAATAGATTTTAGAATCTTTCTCTTTAACCAACCTAAATCACACTTTTCTAATCATAAAGATTAAGCCAATAAACTTCAAATTTATGAACAGAATCCTGCCCATAATCTAATAAATTGCTAACTGAAGACAAATGACTTCTGCCTTAAAAGACATCTTCTCTTTATAACCACGAGAGCTGAAAGAGGACAGCACAAGATACTCTGTTACTCTATCTTTTGTGTAATGAGACAATTTCAGCACACCAGACGCCATTTTCCTCATCCTCTGCCGATCCTACAGCCAGTCACGTAAAAGAGAAGGCTCCCAGCCAGGCCTGGTGGCTCACGCCTGTAATCCCAGCACTTCGGGAAGCCGAGGCAGGCAGATCACCCGAGGTCCAGGAGTTCGAGACCAGCTTGGTCAACATGGCAAAACGCCGTCTCTACTAAAAATACAAAAAAATTAGCTGGGCGTGGTGGTGCACGCCTGTAATCCCAGCTAGTCAGGAGGCTGAGGCAGGAGAATCGCTTGAACCCAGGAAGCAGAGGTTGCAGTGAGCCAAGATTGAAACATCGCACTCCAGCTCAGGTGACAGTGCGAGACTCCATCTCAAAACAAAAAAATAAAACTGGACTCTGAATGTAGGTGGCAGATTAAATGTAAGCCCTCTTCCTCCCAATTATTATTATTTTTTTCCAATTTTTACTTCAGATTCAGGGGTTACCAGTACAGGCTGGATACCTGGATACATTGCATGACGCTGAGGTTTGCAATATGAATGAGCCTACCACCCGGGTACTGATCATCGTAACCAGGTTGGTTTTCCAACCCTTAGTTCGTGCCCTCCCTCCTCCTCTAACAGTTGCCAGATTCTACTTTTGCCGTCTTTATGTCCTTGAGTACCCAAGGGTTAGCTCCCACTCGTCAGTGAAAACACGCACCTACTAAGTAATTGATAGGAGCCTGCAGTATTGAACTGCAAGCTCTGTGTCAAGCAGCATACAAGAATGCAGAAAATCTTACGCCAAGTCCTATAAAATTTAGCATCCAAAAGTAATGTGAGTATTTACCAACATTTTCCCAATATTTCATGGCATTCATTGACAAGATTGCTAAATGAAGAGGGAATTTTTTCACATCAAATTTATATCTGAGCCAATCAAACAGTATTACTCAAAGCTACTGATGAACACATAAATATAGCATCAGTATGCAGAAAAGACATAACTCATTTGCTTTTCCTTTTAAAGGACATCTACCTAGAGTGGAAATAAAAACTTAAAAGCACAAGAGATGACTAAAAAATTATACACAATCTTTATATTGTAGATCCTCTACTAATTAAAATTCTTACCTTATTGTGTACTGAGGACAACAAGTTTGATTCATGACAGGTTTGTACACATATTTTCCACTTCTAAAATTATAAAAATAGTTTGTTAATGTCTTCTATATTTTTCACTTGTACCAAAATAGACTAGCACAGAAGCATAAAATTAAGGGTAAAAAAATCTAACCAATATTGTAGAAATGCATGCAGTTTTAATTACTCTTCATAAGCTAAATAATCTTCAAAGTGGGTGTACAAAGGTTTAGAACCCAGCCTTTTATTTCCTAAAGCTTTACTTGTGTACCTCAAGGCCAGTCATCTCAGTTCTCCTCCCACCAGCATCTGCCACCCATCCTTAATATCACAAGGGCAATGACAGAAACGCCCACGATCCTGTGGGGCTCATGTATGTGCTGTCTGCTACAAGCACATTTGGGTAGTCCACATGCGCCAGTACAAAGCAGCCCAAAACTAACCCAGTTCTTTCCATGCATTCCAGATCTATGGTAGTAACTGAACTGCTCATTCTGTTCTCAAGTCAGAAACCTGGGAGTCATTTTAGACTCCTCCCTGGAATTCACCTCTATATCCTGTTAGCAAGCTTTCCCACCTTAAACCCTGTCTTAAATTGTCCCCTCCTACTGCCATTCCCACTAACATGCCAGTCCTCGTCATCGCACATCTTGATGATGAAATAACCTCTGAACTCATCTTCCTGCCTCTATGACCACCTCCTCAAATACCTCTCAGCCATCTGAAAAGTTTTCTAAACCAAATTCCATCACATTTCTCTCTTACCATAAACTCCTTCCATGACTGCTTTCTACCTTTTAAAAGTTCTGGCCAGGCATGGTGGTTCACACCTATAATCCCAACACTTTGAGAAGCTAAGCTGGAGGAACACTTGCAACCAGGAGTGCAAGACCAGCATAAGCGACACAGCAAGATCTTGTAAAAATTTAAAAATTAGCCAGATGTTGTGATGCACACCTGTAGTCCTAGCCACTGGAGAGGCTAAGGCATGAGGATCACCTGAGTGTGGCAATTTGAGGTTACAGTGAGCTATGATAACTCCATCCTGGGCGACAGAGAGAGACCCTATCTCTAAAAAAAAAAAAAAAATTCCGTATCATGGCATACAAAGTCCTTTAAAATCTGACCTATGTCTACCTTCTGAATCTCATTAAGTTTAAGGAAAGTTGTGATGTTTCAGCTGGTGCTCCCAATCCCATGTCTTTTGGTGAGTATTAGCATCCAGTATATAATGTTACTTATATTTACACAAGGAACTTTAAGAGTTACTTAAAAATCATCTACACAAAAATAACTACTCAAAACAGGCCATGTGGACCTTAATGAAATCCTTATTTAAATAACCAACTGTTAAAGAAGACATTTTTGAGACAATCTGGAAAATCTAATAAAAAGTAGGTAACAGGTAACATCAAAGAATTTTTATTAATTTTGTAAGGTGTGACAACAGCAGTATGGGTAAGTTAAAAAGAAATAAAGACCCCTCTCTTAAGAGATACATACTTACTGCTGATCTATTGATAGGATAAATGTAATAATAAATACTGATGTAATTTGCTGTTAAATATTGAAAGGAGGAGCAGGTGCTGGGCATAGTGGCTCATGTCTGTAATCCCAGCACTTTGGGAGGCTAAGGTGGGTGGATCACTTGAGGTCAGGAGTTCGAGACCAGCCAGGCCAACATGGTGAAACCCCATCTTTTAAAAAAAAAAAAAAAAAAAGGAGGAGCAGGAGAATCAAACATGATTGGCAAAACATTAACAACTGTTGAAACTTAGTGATAGGTTCCTGAGATTCATTCTAATGTACTCTTAGCTTTTATGGATAGTTGACATTTTCCTAATGAAGTTTTTTAAGAGTGAGAGAAAAAATCACTACACAAAAGAATATAATAAAAATTTTCTCAAACCTCTTTCCAACAACATGAAAGCGTTTTAAAGGCATGCTGTATTTTTCAAGAACCTGAGTAACAGCAGGAAGACTCTGTATCAGGAAGCTTTACCTTCGCCATCCTCGGTCTATGAGATCCTGATAATCCTGTACTGTCATGGAATGTGCCCACATGCCTGAAAAAATAAGTAGTACGTTAATGAGGGCAGGGTGACCTTTTTTCTTTTTTAAATTCAAAGTGTGATTTTTAAAAACAGGAGTATTTAGGTTAAAATTCCAAAACACTCACATTAGAGAAAGGAAAAGTTTGATGAAATAACCTCTTAAATAATACATACTTCGTACCTGTTAGTCTGACACACATACAGCACAAATAAAGAATGACAGTATATTTATTTTAATTCGAAAAAACACATCAAAGTAATTATATTTATTTGAGGATTAGCCAGTAGTTTCTATGACATTATAAATTTAGGACCTCACTGCAATCAGAATGCATCGACCTTCAAACTTTAGTAATATCCCCAATGATTTAACATGCTGGTCTCTTCAGAAAACTTAGCAAAATGTTCTGTGCTTGTTAGTTCTCCTGATTTAAATACAGGTATATATTTACATTGCAGCCTTGAGCATTAAAAACTGGAGAAAAGTAAGTAACAGTATTTCTTCTAAATGTAAGAATTAAAAGTAATTCAAATGCCAAGGAACAGTAAGATGATTACAGGGGCTATGATGATATCGACATGATGGAATAATTACACAACTATGGGGAAAAAAAGAAGACTATGAGGAAACGTTTAAAGGCGTATCAGAACTAAAGTTAGGGCTTGGTGCGGTGGTGGCTCATGCCTATAATCCCAACACTTTGGAAGGCCAACAAGGAAGATCACTTGAGGTCAGGAGTTCAACACAAGCCTGGGCAACATAACAAGTCTGTTTCCACAAAAAATAAAAAATAATAGTAATTAGTCAGGTTCTGTGGCATGTGCCTATGGTCCCAGCTACTTGGGAGGCTGAGGTGGGAAGAGGCTTGAGGCCAGGAGTTTGAGGCTGCAGTAAGCTATAAATGCCCCACTGCGCTCCAGCCTGAGCTAAGGAGCAAGACCCTGTCTCTTAAAAAAAAAATTAAAGTTAAAAAATAAATGAATTTTTCTCTTTCGTAAACAGTAAATCGCATCAGAGATATGTAACGATAGAGACAGGACTGACAGAGCAGGATATAGTGGGTAGTGGGAAAGGCACGGCACTGGAGTCCAACAGAAATACGTATCTGGACACCTGGCAGGCACTCACTGATACTAAGGAGTCACCCAATAAGCCTCAATTTCATCATCTGTAAATAAGGAAAACAAACCTCACCTACCCAATACGTAGATGCCCCATAATAAAGAGTATTAAAATCAAAATCGAGATACTAGAAATTGATGATTATTTTCTCTTGATGGAAAGGTTGCAGGCATATTTCCTCCACAAAATGTGAAACACAAGACATTTATGTTAGCCAGTTTTCTCTTGCCACAATTACTGGAAAAAAATAAGCAATGACCTATTAAGATTATTATCGTTAGGCACGTTTAATGTAACTTACTGATTTTATAATTATTATAGCCAAAATACAAAAATTCTGAAAAAGAGAAGGAAGGAACTCGTATTACTCTAAGGCCATATTACCACTGTCAGTATTTGGTGTGCTTCTGGGCCTTCTTCCTCCCAGAACTGCAATCATGTTGCAGAAGCTATTTGCATCCTGTTGATATTCTCCATTTAACTCCACACTGGAAGCATTTTTCCATTTAGTCTTCATAATCCTCACCTCTAATGATAGCATAACTGTCTACGCAAGACCGCTGCCCACAAGAAGCACTTAATAAACATTTTCAATGAAGGAGTAAATGTACACACCGTTATCGACCTAATCATTCCCCATTCACACCTTTTCATGGAAAATGCCTGTGTGTTTTCATGCAAATTTCGACTTCTACAATGCCGGACTGTTCCATTAAGGTAATAGATTCCACACTCTATATTGCCCAATGCATGGCAAGGCAGGAAATAAGCAGGACGTTTTGTTTACCAACAACAAATCTTCCCCAGAGAAATCTGAATCACTAGGCAAAAACAAAACAAACTTGTGGGCTGGCTTTGCTGTCGGGATGGATGGAGGAAATACACAGCATATAAGCAAATGGTAAAAATTTCAAGGGCCGTACGCGGTGGCTCATACCTGTAATCCCAGCACTTTGGGAGGCCGAGGCGGGTGGATCACGAAGTCAAGAGATCGAGACCATCCTGGTCAACATAGTGAAACCCCGTCTCTACTAAAAATACTAAAAATTAGCTGGGCATGGTGGCGCGTGCCTGTAGTCCCAGCCACTCAGGAGGCCGAGGCAGGAGAATTGCCTGAACCCAGGAGGCGGAGGTTGCGGTGAGCCGAGATCGCGCCATTGCACTCCAGCCTGGGTAACAGGAGCGAAACTCCGTCTCAAAAAAAAAAAAAAAAAAATTCAAACAGATCAGGCCAAACAGAAACCCTAGCCGGTAGCGACCTCGGTCACCAGTTTGTCTTTTTAAAAAAATAAAAAATAAAAACTTTTTTTTAACCCAGAAATGCAAGGGGTTCATCCTGTATGTATATTTGCCCAGGACGTCTGAGTCATACACGACGGGCACCTGTATGCACACCCACAGCTCCTCTCCGCACCGCGTCTCGCCCTCGCTTCCCGGGATGCTCCCACCACAGCACCCACCGGTCAGCCCTGGCCATTAACTACGGCTCAGGTGCGTTCGCCGGCACTGCGTGCCCGTCCTTCGGCTCACCCATCTACCCCACACGGACGTTCGTCTCCCGACTCTGGGGAGACCATCACGATCTCGCGGGTCCGGGCACTGGTGGGGATTTTCCTGCAGAACAGGCACCGTGAAGCTGCCCCGCTGAGCCGGCGCCGCGGCCCTCCCGAGGGTGACCCCTCCGACTCGGCCGTGGTCCTGGTGCCGCCCAGGGACTCCGGCCGCCTCGCGTCCCAGCTGGAGGACCGCGGGATCCCTAGACCTGGCACCCGGCTTCCCACGCCCGCCGTCCCGGCTCGCTCACCATTGGAGCGGCTGCCCAACTCGTTCTTGCAGTAACCACAGCGGTAGAAGTCCTCGCTGGGGAAATAGTCCACGATGCTGGGCGAACCCCCGGCCCAGAAAGCCATGGCCTCGGCCCCGCGAACGCTCAGGCTTCCGGCCCAGCGTCGCCGCCACTGCCGCCGCCACCCCACAATGCAGCGCGCCGCCCGGGAGCCCCCCGAGGCTCGCACGAAGCCACTCGGGCGCCCGCAGGCCCGGTCGGCCCGGCGCCTCCTGGGGCTGACGCCGCCCGCGCCATCTTGACCGAGGGCAGCTTTCCACTATTTCCGTTCTTTCTCCATAAGGGGCCGCCGTCGTCAGTGAGGGTGAAGCGGAGAGACCGAGTAGGATGGGGAGATTCGAGAGAGGACGGCAAGCGGGGGTCGGGGTGCGAGCCTGCTCTTTCCCCCGCCTGCCCGAGGCGCGGCGAGCGCCGCAAGGGTTGGGCGCGAGGCGGCCGCGCCAGCCTTGGCGTCAGGGACACTCACCGCAGGACGCTTTGCCCTCCTTGGAGTCGCAGTAGCCGCAGTGGTAGCCAGCCCTGAGGCCCTTGTATTCCACCACCGAGGCCATGGCCGCCGCGAGGGTCCGCTCCGGCCGGCCACGCCTCTCGGCGCCCGGGGCCGACCTCCGCGAAGCGCGGGGGCCCGTGGGGGGAGGGGTGAAGAGCGAGGCCGGGCGCGGGGGCCGGTGGGCGGGGATGGTGGTCGTGCCCGCAAGCCCCGCGTTTGGGCCAGTGCTTCCCACAGCCGTGCGTTCTCAGCCCCATTTCACAGGTAGGGAAACTGAGGACCGAAGGTTGTGATCATCCCCAGGTCATTTCCGGCAGGTGCAGGATTGAAGGTTCCCCTCTCGGGCCGCCCCTCGTCACCATGTAGGTGACTTGCCTGCGCTTCTTCCAGCTCAGCTGGCACGCACTCCGGTGCCCGTGGATTCAAGAACGAAAGCAGGTATTCCGAGAATGGCGAGGGTTTGCAAATTAAAGAACAATGAAAGCTTTTAAAGGAAACAACGATCAGTTAGAGCCAGTTGCTGTCTTGTGTCACTGTCAGCCCAGTGCCACATGGAACTTTTACTAAGAGATGCTGGAAGTACAGATTTTTTTTTTTTTTTTAACTCTACAGGCCAAACAAAGCAATCTGAATCCAGCACATGGGCCTCCATTTTGCAACCACTATTTGAAGGAAGATTGCTTAGGGAATGACGGTCTAGGGCAAAATATAAAAATGAGTACCTCCAGCAAGGTAATATCCTTATCTTTCCCTCCTCGTGCACAGATGATTTAAGCCGTCTGTTCTCATAGTTTTCTCCGTCAACAATAAAGCTGATTATGCAGTATTTTTTAAAGTGGTGTGTTTACAAAAGTGAAATCATGAAACTCAGAGAAATAAACTTTTGAGACGAGCTTTGACATTCTTGACCCCAAGGGCCTGTGTTGGATATGTACCTAGTTGAAAGTGGTTTCTTAACGGCCTGGTGACTTGTTAGCACTCCCAAGCATCACTTGTGCTTCCCACAAGGCGCCTAAGGAATAGCGGTGTAATATCCAGCAGTTTCTTAGGACCCTCCGGGTTCTTCCAACTGCTTAGACTTGAAGGCTGTGTGCTGTATCTCAGTATTCATCTTCTTGACTCAAGCTTCATCCGTTTTGTTCTTTGTGGCAGATTTGACTATTCCCAATCCTTTCCCAGACTGGCTCTCACTTTGAACAAAAGCAAGGCCTGTGGAATGCATTGGGAAAAGAGCAGAATATGCTCTGGACGGAAGGTTGACCAGGAGGCTTTTTGGTCTTAATATTCCTGTCCCACTTCACTTCTGTCCCTTTAAAGCCTCATCCTTATCCTTGGTCCTACACTAACCTCAACCAGGGCACTACAAGACATGCCAGCCTTGAAAAATAATGAGAATGTCCAAAGTCTTAGGCATGTGTGGTGTTTTTCTTTATTATATTTTATGTTAGAGGCAGAGTCTGACTGTTGTCCAGGCTGGAGTGCAGTGGCGTGATCTTGTCTCACCAAAGCCTCTGCCTCCCAGGTTTCAGCGATTCTCATGCCTTGGCCTCCTGAGTATGCAGTGGTGTGAACTTGGCTCACCACAGCCTCTGCCTCCCAGGTTCCAGCAATTCTCATGTTTGTATTTACTTTTTTTTTTAATTTGAGACAGAGTCTCACTCACTTTTGTTGCCCATGCTGGAATGCAGTGGCGCGATCTCAGCTCACTGCAACCTCCACCACCCGGGTTCAAACAATTCTCCTGCCAAAGCCTCCTGGGTAGCTGGGACTACAGGTACACACCACCACGCCCAGCTAGTTTTTTGTATTTTTAGTAGACACAAGGTTTCACTATGTTTGTCAGTCTGGTCTCAAACTCCTGACCTCCGGTGATCCACCTGCCTTGGCCTCCCAAAGTACCAGGATTATAGGCATGAGCCACTATGCCCAGGCTGAAATGGGAGGATCCCTTGAGCCTGGGAGGTCAAGGCTGCAGTGAGCTGTGATTGTGCCACTACACTCCAGCCTGGGCAAGAGAGTGGGACCCTGTCTCAAGCAAAACAAACAAAAAACAAAACAAGAAACCCAAAAAACTATAGCCCCCAAAATCATATTCATAGTTTTTTTTTGAGACAGAGGCTCTGTCACCCAGGATGGAGTGCAGTAGCATAATCTCAGCTCACTTCAAACTCTGCCTCCCAAGTTCAAGTGATTCCCCTGCCTCAGCTTCCCGAGTAGCTGGGACTACAGGTGTGCACTACCACGCCTGGCTAATTTTTGTATTTTTTAGTAGAGGTGGGGTTTCACCATATTGGCCAGGTTGGTCTTGAACTCCTGACCTTGTGATCTGCTCGCCTCAGCCTCCCAAAGTGCTGGGATTACAGGCGTGAGCCACTGCACCTGGCCTGCTTCCTATCTTTAATGACCAGTTATGAATATAAAAAATATGTGACTAAAAATATATTAAAGTGTGTTAAAACTGAAACTTCCACAGCATTACTATTTAAGTAAGTGACACCCCAGCTAAGTGATTATAGGCCACATGACTGAGCCAATTGCCTACTCACTCAGCCTCCTCCAACTACTGTGAGTATGCTTAGAAGATCCTCTCCATGTGTTTATACTGATTCCATTTCCATGGAGAATACACAGTAATATACATGCCAAAGAAAATCAAATCAGATGCCTTCACTGCCTTTTACATTGCTTTCTCTGCACTGAAGCGGGATGCCTGTGTCTGTTGAAACACAGCCCCTTTCGGCTTCTCTATGATCATTTAGCCTCGCTTACACTAAGCAAAGCCCATTCTCTGTCAACCATACTATGTCTTCACATGCTACCTCACAGTAGTCTCAATCTAGGATGATGACACACAGAAAAGCTTGTGACTGCTTCTGGTTGCCTTAGAAATCAGCCCAAGGCATCCTGAAGAATCAACAGTAGGTAGCTGAAAGTCTTAAAGACGGTCAGAAACTTTAATGTCTGAAAAACAGTGCTTTGCAGAATAGAGAATGAGTGATTGGAACACGGGAGAGCAGACATTGAGCATTGGAGAGTGAGGAGCAAAGATGTTGTACGTAAAGCTGGCAATTGATAGGGCAATGGAGGAAGCAAAAGGCATCAAAGAACAGCGTGAGGCAGTGACCCAGGGTGCCATGAGGAGGAAGTCCGACAGCGAACTAGCAAAGGATCAACAAATAGGATCTGAGTCTTTGGTGACAGACTCAGAATGGTTGAGTCTGAGTGCAGAGGAACAGTAGGTATCGTTTTCCTGCTATTTTGGGTACAGGCAAGATAATACTCAACTATCTGGGAATCAGTATAGCCCAAAGATGGAAATGATGAGCTCTGGAGTCATGTAGGCACGTATTTTGACTCTGAAACTATTCCTGGGGCCTTTGACAAGTCATGAAACCTCATAGCCTTGGTCCCTTTGCTAAGATAATAAAGACCTATCTCATAAGGTTGTTTGGAAGACTAAGTAAAATAATCCATTTAAGTTCGTAGTGTAATGCCTAGTGTATAGTAAACTCTAAATCAGGTGTCCCCAAACTACGGCCCCCTGAGGCCATTTATCCGGCCCCCCGTCGCACTTCAGGAAGCGGCAGCTCTTTCATTGGTGGTCAGTGAGAGGAGCACAGTATGTGGCGGCCCACTGTCTGAGGGACAGTGAACTGGCCCCCTGTGTAAAAAGTTTGGGGACGCCTGCAAATGTTGCTATGAAAACAAATAGGAACCTCTTAGAAATGAATATGAAACAATATGAGTCTTTTTAAGAAATTAACTTTATTAATACTTAACCAAATAGCCTTTTGTTTTTTCCAGTTCTATCGTATAAAATCTTACTCTTATTTTGCTAAGAGAAGCCAAAGAAAACATATACAACATACATTGTTAAACATAGAACCTATTTGCTGACTAATCAGATTAAAAAGAGGTCTCCAGGATGCTTAAATGTGACTGCCGTATCCTAAGTAACACTTTTTTTTTTTTGAGACAGAGTCGTGCTCTGTCACACAGGCTGGAGTGCAGTGGCATAATCTCGGCTCACTGCAACCTCCAACTCCCTGGTTCAAGTGATTCTCCTGCCACAGCCTCCCAAGTAGCTGGGATTACAGGCTCCTGCCATGATGCTCAGCTAATTTTTGTGTTTTTGGTAGAGATGGGTTTTCACCATGCTGGCCAGGATGGTCTCGATCTCCTGACCTCGTGATCTGCCCACCTTGGCCTCCCAAAGTGCTGGGATTGCAGGCATGAGCCAGCCACCATGCCCGGCCATAACGCATTTCTCAGCTATATTTGTCTGCATTAATGTTTTTAAAATTTTGTCATCCAGTTGTTTTATTCTCTTTAATGAGAGTCACAGGGCAAAAGATAAGGCCCATGCTAGAATCCTTGAGCTCTACGGATAGTGAACATCTGGGTTGCATATCAACAGTCATATGTAAGCCTAAGTTAGGTGCCTATCATTGCTTGATAAATTGCCTTTGTTCTGTACCTGGAAACTTGTTTTGGCGCCACTGTGTACTTCATTTATAAAAAGTCCTGTCTGTTAGGCACTCAACCATTTTTGGATGCAAATCCAAGCTAGTGACTCTCATTAAAGAGGTGATAAGGGCCGGGTGTGGTGGCTCATGCCTATCATCCCAGAACTTTGGGAAGCCAAGGCAGGTGGATTGCTTGAGATCAGGACTTAAGAGACCAGCCTGACCAACATGGTGAAACCCCATGTCTATTAAAAATGCAAAAAAAATAAAATGAGCTGGGTGTGGTGGCAGGCACCTATACCAGCTACTTAAGAGGATGAGACAGGGGAATTGCTTGCACTCAGGAGGTAAAGGCTGCAGTGAGCCGAGACCAGGCCATTGCACTCTGATTGCCCAGAGACTCCATCTCAAAAAAAAAAAAAAAAAAAAAAGAGGTGAGAGGATAGCAGCTTGAAGGGGGTCATGGTCACTTTTTAATGAGAGATGAGCTTGGTTGAAGGGCAAACTCCAGATACAGGTCAAGGGGATGACGGAGGAGAGCAGTCTCCCCTAGGAGGCAGGAAGCACTAGAGCCCAGAGTCCTCCACAGAAGAGACACCTCTACCCCTGATCCAGAGGGAAGCAGCGAGAAAAAATAAAATAGAAAAGTGGGCACTGGGAGAAGAAACTGACTAGAAAGCCCTGCAGAGATAAGAGGCATGGAGTACATGCTGGCAAGAAGGAACCAGGGCTGGTTTTGCTGGGGAGAGTAGTCTGGCCTGGCTTGCCAAAGGATTTAATAGTTTCTCATATGTAAATCAGAGGCTGAATCATAGGAAATTGCTCATATTTGACCATGTTTTACCTATAAAAACAAGAGTTTCATATGGTATAACCTATTTGTTGACTTGACCAGTTAACTTTGTGGCAAAAAGTAAAAGGAATCATAACGGTCCAAAGGGTATTAATGACCTAAGTAAAACTTTCACTGGGACAGGGCAGACAAAGGAGACCCTCTCCCATGACTAGAAAATAAAGAACAACTACAGTTATTTGTGAATATGGCAGTGAGTTTCCTTTAATCAAAGACAATCATGACAAATGTATTACCTATCAAAAGCTACATTTTACTAAAAACAATGTGCCTTTAAAAATGTTGAATCATACAATATATACAGTATGTGCCGCTTTCCTTTCTGGACTTCGCTGTCCATCTGAGTCCTAAAAAAGGGGGGGAAATATCTGGTTAACAGTTTATAAATAACAAACCAAAAGTTCGTATAACATACATAAATGAAATCCAACAACTAGCCTTCCTCAGTGAGCAGGGCCCAGGGAAATCCACATTTTATATATATATATACATATATATATATATATATCTTACATTTATTTTCTTCTTTCATTTAAAATATTTTTACGGAAGTAAATTATCTTGGAACAAAAGTATTTCAGTTAATTGAAGCACATATTGAGTGTCAAGTACTAAAAAGTTTATTTTGATGCTCAAAATCAGAAAATTTGAGCTCAAAAAAATCCTTAGCAATGATCTAACTTGAAAATCTTCCCATTTTATACATGTATTTATAGATCTTTAAAAAATAAAGTTGAGTGAGATTAAGTGACTTGCCCATGGTTTTAAAGTAAGGGGCAAAAATAAATAAAGGAAGGGTCAGAGCCAAGAGAACTTAGTTCTGATTCCACAACTGTCTGCACTACAAAATGCCAGACCATTATTAAGATTTCTTTCTAGAAATGTTACCCTTCATATAAATGAAGAATTCTTTCATAGCCTAATACAAATTTCAGAAATGGCAATTTACCAATATTATTCTAAGGTAATTCTATCCTAATCCTCCTTTTCTGCTTTGTACTTACAAAATAAGCAAATCTAATGGGACAGTGAACAACAACATGGATGGGAGAATTCAATATTTCACTTGGCTAATTTACCAGTTTGTTGGAAGAAAAAAAGAAGCTGGGTACAGTGGCTCACACATAATCCCAGCACTTTGGGAAGCTGAGCTGGGAGCATCCCTTGAGCCCAGGAGTTTGAGACCAGCCTGGGCAATATAATGAGACCTTTTTTCTATTTTTTGCTTAAAAAAAAAAAAAAAAAAAAATCCACCAAACCAAGAACAATCCTGTACTGCCTCTTTCAGCTGCAAATCTTTCTCTTTTTTTTTTGAAATGCAGTCTCGCTCTGTCACGGTGGCATGATCTCGGCTCACTGCAACCTCTGCCTCCTGGATTCAAGCAATTGTCCTGCCTCAGCCTCCCGAGTGGCTGGGATTATTCGCATGCGCCACCACGTCCAGCTAATTTTTGCATTTTTAGTAGAGACGGGAATTCACCATGTTGGTCAGGATGGTCTCGATCTCCTGACCTCGTGATCTGTGATCCGTCTGCCTCAGCCTTGGGATTATAGGCATGAGCCACCACATCCAGCCTCAGCTACAGATCTTAACAGCACCATTGTCATTAATACAGAAAAGGGAAAGTAGAATCATTATGCCTTTCTCACCTGTTACATACAGTTCTAAGAATAGGGCACTAGAGGGAGGCAAAAATCCAAATTTCACTGGAACAGGGAAAAAGGAGTTTGGATTGCCAAATAAACATTAATAAAACTGTGTAGCCATCCCATTAAAAATGTTACCTTCAGTGAGCATCAAGCACTTAGCCTCTGCTGCCTCTGACTTGGAGTAATCACAGGCTCTGAAATCTCAAAGGTCTTCACAATCTCCTGGCAGACAAAAAAGAACATTTAGGCACTGGGTTTATTGCAAGTGAAGTCAGAGTCAGAACTATGCAGGGGCAACAGAGCTTTACCTCCCAGTCACGATAACTCAAAGCTATAATTCCTTGATTCCTAACTTGTGAGTTTTGTTCAAATCCCTCATTTTCTTCATTAATATTAACAGGCTCTGAAAGACAAATTTTTCAAAGGTTATCAAATTGGAACAGAAACTGATGATCTAAACAGAAACTGATAATCTAAACAGGTAATCTAAACAGAAACTGATGAATAATAGCAATGGTACCTGTATTGAAAAGATACTTATAACAGTACATACTTTTTAGGATTTCATGCATTATGGAGCTGCTGCAGTATTATTACAGAAGCCAGTAATCCCATCTGTTTCCATTTATAAGAAACAGGTACTAGAGTAACACATTCCAGACATTTGAAAGTCTGCATATCTATGTGTGTATGACACACAGAGCTAAGCCCTAGTGAGTCCAATAGGGCACTGAGAACATTGATGTTCTCAGTGTGATGTTCCCAGTCAAGTGTGATGGAAATATTCACTCTCCACAGGAGATCTTAGGAGGACATAAGAATGGAGAGTGAAATTATTCACTTCAGAATAAAAGATTCCTAGAACCTCAAGGAGAAAAGAAGGTGCTGGCATCTGACAAAACATGATTAAAAAGAGGGATACTACAAAAATGACTGCAATCACCAACTTTGTAAATTAAAATCTGAGGGAAATTGTATCATTTCTTTGTTAATATTTACAGCAGATGTTGAATCAGTGATACAGATGAATCCATCAAAATTTTAGACACTGACCATGTTTTCAGTATCTTCAGGTAGTTGAGCAAGATACAACATTGTAAAAGTTAATCTACATTGAAAACGCATTTACATTTAGTAAAATATATTACTTAAATTCTACTAACAAATATATTGTCTCTAAAACTAATTTTTTGGAAGACACCAATTTTTTGGTATCATTTACCTATTATTGGCAGTCGGTCTTGGTCAAGTCTTATTCTTGCAAAACCATCCTAAAACGAAAACATGATTTTAGGAGAAGACAAAAATTTAGACTCAAATCTATAACTACTAGATGAAAAAAATTACTCAGAAAACTCAGTATCTTAGAAAATCAAATTATACCATACCAATAATAAGGTGACGATATAGATAAGACTTCTCTAATATCTTTTGTTTACAGGTATCTTTTGGGTTTCTAATCAGCTCTTTTACCCAGACACAGCCTTCATCCTGAGAATCTCTTAAGTGAAATTCATCTTGTCTCTTTAACTGATTTATATATATTTTGGAATACTCCACATTTTATTCTGCATAATTCTGTCACTGGGACCACTGGCAAAATATGCCTTTGTTATCATTTCTGAGAAAATACTTTGGTTGACACAAGCTTTTCTCTGAGGTTAAAATCAAATTCATCTTATATGTGGGAATGCAACCTGAAGTAAGATTAAAGACAGCCTAAAGCAAATTTCCATGGTACATTTCTGAGTAGAGGTTTTTTTTAAACCAATTTTGAAATAATTTCAGACTTAAAGGGTTATAAGGCTACTATAAACATGTGCCATATGGCCTTTACCCATATTCATCAGTCGTTAAAGTGTGAGTTACCACATTTACTTTATCACTCTACATATTATTATTTATGAATGAAGTGAGAATGATAGGTGGCCTGCTCCTTTTCCCTAATCTTTCAGTGTGTATTTCTTGAGAATAAGGATATTCTCTTATACAATATCACAGTTATCAAAATCAGGAAATTTAACATTTATACCATACTGTTATCTAATCTACAGTTGCATTCCAATTTTTCCAATTCTTTCTCTAAATAATGTCTAAAACATAAAAGCAAGCACATATAATGTTAGGTAGCTTCTTCTACCTAATATGCCGATTAATGTTTTGCTACAATGGGTCTGAAACATATACTGGCTAGTGTATACAGACACCTTTGCCAGCTCCCTTCTACAGCTTTTCTTCTGTATGCTTTTAAACGCATATAAAAGCAATTAAAAAATAATCTTTAATCTTACCCGTATAATGAAGGAAACATGAAAGATGTTTTCCACAGTACGGGGGAAAGAATGTGGATCAACCACAAAGTCAAAGAAGGACATTGGGGTATCAGCTATAGACAAAAAGAAAAAAAAAATTAATTTTTGCTTATCATTAATATCACTACTCTCAGCATTGGCCAGAGAGACAAAGAAAAGATGAGCACTCATCCTGCCACAAGAATGTATATCAATCCAGGCTGGGCACAGTGGCTCATGCCTATAATCTCAGCATTTTGGGAGGCCAAGGAGTTCAAGACCAGCCCGACCAACATGGTGAAACCCTGTCTCTACTAAAAATACAAAAATTAGCTGGGCATGGTGGCACGTGCCTGTAATCCTAGCTCCTCAGGAGGCTGAGGCAGGAGAATTGCCTGAACCCAGGAGGTGGAGGTTGTGGTCAGCCAAGATCGTGCCATTGCACTCCAGCCTGGGCGACAGAGTGAGACTCCGTCTCAAAAAAAAAAAGAATGTATATCAATCCAATCCTTCTGGAGGTCAATATAGCATCTCTTCTAAAATCATGTATGCCCACTTACCTGGAAGCCACCTCTAAAAGGCTGTCCCGCAGAAATACAAGCGTAAGTCCCTAAAATTACATACTAAGATTTTTTACTTCGGCAATTTACACAAGAGTAAAATGCTATAAAGAAGTTAAATCATCCAGCTGGGTATGGTGCTCATACCTAAAATCCCAGCACTTTGGGAGGCTGATGCTAACAGATCACCTGAGGTCAGGAGTTTGAGACCAGTTTGGCCAACATGGCGAAACCCCGTCTCTACTAAAAATAAAAAAATAAAAAAATAAAAAAAATAAAAATTTAGCCAGACGTGGTGGCGTGTGCCTGTAATCCCAGCTACTCAGGAGGCTGAGGCAGGAGAATTGCTTGAACCTGGGAAGTGGAGGTTGCAGTGAGTCAAGATGGTGCCACAGCGCTCCAGCCCGGGAAACAGAGCAAGACTGTGTCTAAAAAAAAAAAAAAAGAAAAAGAAAAGAAATTTAATTATCCACTAATGGAGGATCTGTTAAATATATTTATAGTACAGCCATACAGTGGGAATCAGTGAACAAAATAAGGGAGATCTATATGTCATGATATGGAAGAATGTCCACGTGGAAAAGTCGTATCCCAGAAGAATGTGCATATTATAATTAGCTTAGCTTGGAAAAAAAGAAAAACGAAAACTATTTAGGTAGATGTGCATAGGATTGATACAATAATTTGAAAATATACACACTGCATTTTATAATGAGGTGGAATAGGTACTTTTGACATTTCTTACTTGAATGGCATATTTCATTTTGTAACAAAAAAAATCCCCATCTTTTAAAGATAAAAACGAAAAGTTAACTTCAAAGTTCTCACATGAAATTTTTAATGGAGAGAAGAATCCTCATTAAATGTATATGCCAAGAAGTTATCAAAATGCTTCAAACATTACATACAGCTGAAACTGCCTTTTTAAACACATGTAACCTCATTGAACAGATAAATCCACCTTGAATTTGGTGTTACACTTACGATCTTCTCGAAAATATGTCTGCAATAATCCCAAGATTCTTTCTACTTCTTTCTCTGTTGCTTCTTGGTGAGATTCTTCCATTCTGCTTAACTGAAAAAAATAAAGTGATTATCAAGCTGACAGCCTACTTACTGGCCTATTAACAACCTTTTCTTCTCTCTTGCACACCCAAACTTTTAAACTGAGACAGGGTCTTGCTTTGCCACCCAGGCTAGAGTTCAGTGGCACAATCTCAGCTCACTGTCACCTCAGACTCCTTTGCTCAAATGATCCTACCAACTCAGCTTCTTGAGTAGCAACTAGAAGTGTGCACCACTACACCTGGTTATTTTTTTTTTTTCTTTTTTTCTATTTCATGCTACCTTGTCTAAGACACCTGGCTAATTTTTAAAAAAATTTTTAGGTATGGGGTCTTGCTATGTTGCTTAGGCTGGTCTCAAGCTTCTGGTCTCAAGTGATCCTCCTGCCTCAGCCTCCCAAAGCACCTGGATTACAGGCATGAGCCACTGTGCCCAGCCTAAATGTCTTCTGCTGGGGATTGCTAGCAGTTTATATCCTCATCTTAAAATTTATGGTTTTTAAAAAATACAGATTTCCTAGTTTCAAGTTACTAATAGAAGAGTAACATTACAAAATCAACTATTTTCAGGTTGAATATAAAATAGCAAAATACAAAAGGGTAGTTAAGAAACAGTAGTTCTCGAGTGGGCGTGACTCCCCCCCCCCACCATCCCCAGGGGACATTTGTTGTCATATGTAAACATTTTTGGTTGTCATAACTGGGGAGTGGGGGTGGGCTACTGGCATATAGTAGGTAGAGGCCAGGGGCGCTGCTAAACACCCTATAATGCACAGGACAGCTCCTAAAACCAAAAATTATCCGGCCCTAAATGTTGACGGTGCTGAGGGTGAGAAACCCTAGCTTAGAAGAACTGATGAAAACTACAGAAATTAGTTTAAACAAAGACAAGCAACGAATCTAACAAACATGCTTAAAACGGCTTAAATAAAATGATTATTTAAGTGACAAAACCTGGCTCCAGACCTGAAAGCTTAGAAAAAATGGCCAACTTGCATGCACACTATTTTAACAGCTATTTTAACTTTTAGGTGTTTTTTAAAAAGCAACATTTTAAAACAAACAAACCTGGGCGGGCATTGCCCTCTCCTCTCGTACTGCAGGAACTTTTCTTGGACGATCAGTTCGTGGCTTTGGTGCAGGGAACTCTCCATATATTGAACCCAACCTAATGAAAAATATGCTTTCATGTCTTTTTTTGCCTGTTGTTTAACAAACTAATTTCACTAATTAAAAGCACTCTGCATGGTATAGTCAAATTCAGACCAGGCATCAATGATATATATATAAGCTGAAATCAGACCAAGACTCTTGGTAAGGTTTATGACATCCTTTCTGACTCCTTTGTATTTCTACAAAATTTCTAGGAGCTTTACTCAACCACAGATACCTCCTCAGACACCTTCATATTGCCCTGCACAGTAAGCCAATCAATGTGCCTGTGACGTCTTCCCATCTAACCTATTATCTATTTTTCAAAGCCAACTTCTGAGATCAGGGGAAGGATGAGTATGTATATGGGGAAGCTCCAGTGGGGTTAGAAGCCTTTGATCTGCAGATGCCAAGGGAGAGGCTCCCAGCCCAGGACTACAGAACACATCTGTCTTAGGATAACAAAGCAAGTCATAGCCATGGGATTCCTTTTCCTTCTGGACTTTCTCCACCAGCACCCTAAAAAGCCCGAATGCAGACTTGGGCTACAGGAACAGATGTATCATGTGGAGATGAAAGCCCCAAGAATACAGGCTCATGTGGTCCCTACACTTGAGGAGACGAATGTATATGATGTAGATGGACAGATACATTATGCACATAGGTCCATTTCAACATAACATGGTAGGCTACTCCGGGCACACTCCTGCTCCACAAGGAGCAGTATCCATCAATCAATTCAATCAAATAACGTGGTAGAGATCCTGGATGCTTGGAGAATACTGCTCAAGTGCTATGAGAATACCTGGGCAGAGAGATCTACCCAGACGTGGGAGTGATGTGGGAAATCTGATCCTACACTGATAACACCTCTGTCTGGAGAAGCTGCTGGAGGCTTCCAAGTTGGGGCCTGTGAGATAAACTTTACTGGATGGAAAAGATTAAAGGAACTGGAGAGCAAGAGAACAGCAAGTAGAAAGACACAGTTTAAAGTGCTTCATTGTGGCTGGAAATTGGGCTGAATGATGAGACAAAGTTGAAGGCTTTATCTTTAGAGCCTAGGATTTGTGAGTTTAGTGCAAGAGCAAAAAACAAAGACTTAGACTTTATCCTATGATAAAAGTGTGGTATATATTCTGCTAAACAGAATGTATACAAATGGCTCTGGGCACCTGAGTTACCTGAAGTCTTACTAAAAATAGATGCCAGACCCCAAACCACACTACTACACTGTCATCTCCAAAGCCTTCTACCCGAGCCACTAGCAATATCAAAGGTTTTTAAAAGGATGATTTTTTTTTTTTTTCAAGATGAATTAGAAAAGACAAATGCCCAGGAGCTATACCACTTAAAGAAGAAAGGACTGAACAAGTCAGATGGCTACCCTAGAGGAAGCATTTGCTGGGCATCAAAACCAGTAAGCTTGAAGGTCCTGTTAGAGAAGAACCAGTAAGAGCTGTTTTTGGTTTCTCCATAGGACCAAGCTGGGAAGTTGAGACAGAAGCCAATTTCATTTGAATATGAAAGAAATCTTTTTTTTTTTTTTTTTTTTTTTTTTTTGAGAGGAGTCTCTATCTGTCACTCAGGCTGGAGTGCAGGGGTGTGATCTCGGCTCACTGCAACCTCTGCTTTCTGGGTTCAAGCGATTCTCCTGCCTCAGCCTCCCGAGTTGCTGGGACCACAGGCAAACACCGCTACATCCGGCTAATTTTTTTGTATTTTTAGTAGAAACAGGGTTTCACTAGGTTAGCCAGGATAGTCTCAATCTCCTGATCCACCAAACTCAGCCTCCCGAAGTGCTGGGATTACAGGCGTGAGCCACCGCACCTGGCCAAGAAATCTTTTTTTAAAATGAGAGCTTTATCTAAAAAGTGAACTGGGCAGTTATGTGGCAGTGACTAGGAATCTTCAAACATAGGTGAGTGGTCATCCAACAACGTAGGATCCTCCTATTGATAAGAAATCCCATCATATGATAAGGATTTCAAAGATGATAAACCGAGAGTCTCATGAGCTAGAAGCAAAGGAGCCAGGAGACAGCACTGGTAAAGAGGTTCTGACCTTTCCTGCTAAAGCAGAATCAGAGATCCTTTAAGGTTCCATCCACATCTAGAGTTTATGGACTTTCTGTTTTTGAGACAGGGTCTCACTCTGCCACCCAGGGCAGAGTGCAGTGGCGTGATCTCGGCTCAATGCAACTTCTGCCTCCCAGGCTCAAGTGATCCTACCACCTCAGCCTCCCAAGTAGCTGGGACCACAGCAGGCTAATTTTTTGTATTTTCGGTAGAGCATGGGTTCTCACCATGTTGCCCAGGCTGGTCTTGAACTCCTAAGCCTAGATTATCTACCTGCCTCCACCTCCCAAAGTGCTGGGATTATAAGCGTGAGCCACCATGCCCAGCCTAGTGTTTATGAACTTTTACATCAAAGTTTTTAAAGTGTCCAAATAAAGAGACTGTCACCTCTACGAGACCAAATAATCTTTGTCCCTACAAGAAAACACAATTTAAGTTTCACAAATGGCTGGTCTGTTGGATTTTTAAAATAATCTTACAGAAAGTGGAATGTATGGGTTTTATTAAAGGTGTTTTCTGCTGTTTTGCCTGATATTTTCCAGGAGTCATAGACTATGAATTCAAAATCAGAACTGTCTTCATCACGGATGAGTTCTTCAGCTTCTAGCGGATTTACGCCCATATGTGTCAGCTACAAAAATGAAGGAAAACAAAAAACCCCAGTTAAGCCACAAGCAATCATTGTCCAAATCCAATAAACTGCATCACTCAACCTTTAAGAGGCCAGATGCAAAGCCTGCTTTCAGGGTCTTAACATGTTGGCTAAATTTCTTATTGGAAAGATAACTTTGGAGTTAAAATCCAATTTTCAAAGCTACCTTCTTTTTGGCAGAAAATATTCCTCAATGTACTTAAAATCTTTGGGTGAGAAAGTGAAATGATTTAGACCAGTGATTCTCAACCTGGGTATACTTGCCCCCCAGGGTCTTTTGGCAATACCTGGAGACATTTTTGGGTGTCACAACTGATATGCTGCTGGCATCTACTGGGTAGAGGCCAGGAAGGCTGCTGAATATCATATAATGCACAGTACAGGCCTTCAAAACAGAGACATGCGCAGCCCAAAATGTCAATCAATTAGTGCCAGTGCTGAGAAACCCTGCTCTAGCCTACTGGCAACCAGAGGGATTTAGGTATGCCAGAACTCAACCCCCTGAGAATTTTTGTTTTTTTTGAGACACGGAGTATTACTCTTTTGCCCAGGCTAGAGTGCAATGGCATGATTTCAGTTCACTGCAAACTCCACCTCCTGGGTTCAAGCGATTCTCCTGCTTCAGCCTCCCAAGTAGCTGAGATTACAGGTGCCTGCCACTGCGCCTAGCTTTTTGTATTTTTAGTAGAGATGGGGTTTCACCATGTTGGCCAGGCTGATCTCCAACTCCTGACCTCATGATCCACCCACCTTGGCCTCCCAAAGTGCTGGGATTACAGGCATGAGGCACCACACCGGGCCTCCCCGGGAATTTCTGTGTCACAAATAGTTCATGTATTAGCAAAGCTGCGCTAGCATAAAAAATATACAATTAAATCTCAAATCAAAATCTTCAAGATAGCACAGGGAAATTCAGCTGGTGTTCAGATTTTAATTTTTAGCCAACCTCCTACAAATCTCTCTTCAGTTTGTATCTCAGTATATCCAGAGAGCAGAGGCCCCCCATCTCTGAGAGAATAGCTCATCCTAAAATTGCCTTCCTGGGAAGAATTGGCAGAAGTCAAATAATTCTCTCATCTCAAACTATCTTACAGAAAATGTGTTATATTGAATTTGCTTTTATGAAAGTACACTTTTATTACATTATGCTATAAAATGCCTAGAAGTTATCCAGTTACGATGGCAATATCATATATAAACAATAATCACAAAACCCTCAGGGAGCTTAACCCTATTAAAGGCAACCAGACTTGAAAGAAAAGAAAGGCTCCAAGGCGGGGCTGGTCAGAGCACTGCTGCCTGTTCTCCCACTGCACCCTAGTAGGTGGACATGGCAGTTCTGGTCTGTTCAACTGACAGAGAGATCCACCCATCTTTCCTCATAGTGTCTATATTGGATGTTATACATAGGAAAGTCTTCTCCACCAAGACTGGACAACTATTAATTTAAGGTTTTATATATAATGCTTTAAGACTTCTAGGCCGGGCATGGTGGCTCAAGCCTGTAATCCCAGCACTTTGGGAGGCCAAGGCAGGTGGATCACGAGGTCAAGAGATCGAGACCATCCTGGTCAACATGGTGAAACCCTGTCTCTACTAAAAATACTAAAAATTAGCTGGGCGTGGTGGCGCGTGCCTGTAATCCCAGCTACTCAGGAGGCTGAGGCAGGAGAATTGCCTGAACCCAGGAAGCGGAGGTTGTGGTGAGCCGAGATCGCGCCATTGCACTCCAGCCTGGGCAACAAGAGCGAAACTCTGTCTCAAAAAAAAAAGACTTCTAGAATTTGTTTTGATAGGTTATTTAAAGTATAGAGCTTAACCAGATAAAGTAATTTTAAAAGAAATACAGTGCATTATGCTCACAATAAAAAAAAGCTAAAGAAAAAAAAAGGAAAAGGTTTGAAAGACAAACGAAATAATCTTGGGCCTCATGCCTTTATGAAAAAATTACTTCATCTGGTTAGATCGAATAGTACTAAATTGTTTTAAAAACCATTTAACATAAACATCCAGTTAGAAATGCAAAGGCAATGTTCATACTGAGGTGCAGCTATGTGTGCTAGGACAGAGGTTGGCTCAGAATAGAATTATTTATCTATTTTTTTTGATGCAGAGTCTTGCTCTGTAGCCCAGACTGGAGCGCAGTGGTGAGATCTTGGCTCACTGCAACCTCCGCCTCAGGGGTCAAGGGATTCTCCTGCCTCAGCCTCCCGAGCAGCTGAGATTACAGGCAACCGCCATCATACCCAGCTAATTTTTGTATTTTTAGTAGAGATGGGGTTTCACCAAGTTTGCCAGGCTAGTCTCAAACTCCTGACCTCAGGTGATCCACCAGCCTCAGCTTCCCAAAGTGCTGGGATTACAGGCATGAGCCACTGCATTCGGCCAGAATAGAATTTTTTAAAAAGACAACAAAGTAAGATACAAGGTCAGTCTCTGTGTGCTTTTTCTTTTTTTTGGTAAATTCATTAAGGAATAGTTTTAGAATTGCAGGTAACAACTATTTAAACTTGACAAGAGGCAAAATAAAGGTGAATAAAACATAAAACCACAAAAAGCAAAACCCAATCATATTCATATGGTTCTGAAATATTCTAAAGACAGACCAAAACATGCCCTCTCGCCAGGCCTAACTCAACTCCAGCTGGGCTCTGCCATCTCAGAGTGGGCTTCTGCCCAGCCCACGACAGAGGTCCCAGGTCACTGAGAATGATCTAAAACACCAGTGGACAAAGGGAAAATGGCCACTGGCAAATGACCACAGCACCCAGCATCTGAAGACAGAACACAGCAGGATTTTCAAACTGCCCTAAGCCCCCGCCCTAAATTCTACCACATAGCTCTACTTTCATCTGTTTAATTTGGTAAGATCTCTCTGGAGGAATCTGAGACCGAAAAAGAAGAATGAAGTAAGATCATTTGCATACTGATAGGAACGAAGTAAATAATTATACAATATTGACAGACCATTTTTATTCAGAGTCTATAGCTTTGAACTTACTAGAGTTTCAACGTATCTTAACATGTCAAACGAGCTCAGGTCCGAGCGCAGCTGCTTTGCCTTCTCTTTGCCCAAATCTGAAGCCAAAACAAGAAAGTGGGCATCCAGGACTGCTTCTCTTGCTCGGGAGACTATTCAAAAAAGAAAGAAAATATTCACATTACAAAATATACATTATCCATAGATACTTTCCCTACATTTCCAACTATTTACCAGGATTTCCCACTGGACCAAAAAAAAAAAAAAAAAAAAAACCCTCAATAGGCAAATGATCCATCTCCTTCTAAAACCAGTTCTCCTGCCCAACTCACCAAAATCTCTCACAAAGCTGATCCGTCTTCCTAAAAGCCAGCTTTCTGTTCTAGTTCCCCTACCCGTTAGCTGAATCACAATCTCTTAAATAACTTCAGTTGAGCAAAACTCCTTTCATGTCTAATAGTCACTTTTCCCCATCTCAATAACCCATCCTAGCACAATTATCATGTGTGCCGATGTAAGGAAAATCAAATGCCCACTCCATGCCGGGCCCTGCGCTTGGTGTGGTGGTTTGTGAATAGCCATAGGTAAGTTGCTAAGGAGCCTCAACCAAAATCATGGCACGTGCCGGGCTGGCACCAGGAGGCTCATGCCTCTGTATGGTTTCAGAGGCAACCCAGCAAAGCCACCCAAATGAACAGTCTACAGGCAGCCGATAGTGACCTCTGAGGATGGATGCTCAAAAAAGGCTTGAGAGAGGACATGGGATTTAAGATAAGCTATGGAAAAAGATTTAAATGAAAGGAGAAGCAGGCGGGGCACAGCAGCTCATGCCTGCAATCCCTGCACTTTGGGAGGCCGAGGCAGGCACATTACTTTGAGCTCAGAAGTTTAAGACCAGCCTGAGCAACACGGTAAAACCCCGTCTCTACTAAAAATACAAAAATTAGCTGGGCATGGTGGTACACGCATGTAATCACAGCTACTTGGGAGGCTGAAGATGGAGAATCACTTTAACCTGGGAGGTGGAGGCTGCAGTGAACCAATATCATGCCACTGCACTCCAGCCTGGGTGACAGAGTGCCACTCCTCTGAGGCTTCCTTTAGGATTCTTCTTTGTAGGTGTTCCCAGACTACTGTGCATGCTCCCTGTTGCCTGCAGGGTCTGATTAAGCCAACCCCCTCAGCCCCACTGTTTCCTTTTGTTGACCCCTTCCTTCATCTCCCATGAACATCCTGTGCCTGTCTGCCCCATTCCCTTCTCCTTTCATCTAGTTACTTATTTATTTATTTTACAAACTCAGACCATCAAATCTATGAATGTCAAGCATCGATTGTTCGCTGAGCAACTCCTAGGGCTCCAGTGAGTGAATAATTTTGCCCTAAAATATTGCTTTAAATAGTGGAAAAGCTGAGGGTGAAATGATGTGGGGATAAAGAAGTGACCAGAGGCACAGTAAATATCAAGGGAGTAATTGAGCCAAGTCAAGACTAACAGTGAGGAGACTGGGAATCCAGGCTGCGAAAGGAAGACAAAGCTTAAGAGGGCAGCGGAGGGAGTTAACCAGGTGAAGGAGAAAGACCTGGTTCTTGAAGGCTTTGATGACGCTTAGCAAATCGGTAGACTAAGATGGGAATGGTAAGGAGGCTGTGGTCAAAGAAAGGCAGAAATTGGAGAGCATACATAAAGTGATAAAAGGAGACAACATTTAAAGCACTAGTCATACTCAGCGATGACTAAAAATAAACATTCTAGTTAGTCCTTTAAGAAATGAAGAACCGGTGAGGTGCTGTGGGGCTCATGCCTGTAATCCCAGCACTGTGGGAGGCTGAAGCGGGTGGATCACCTGAGGTCAGGATTTCAAGACCAGGCTTGCCTACATGGCAAAACCCTGTCTTTACTAAAAATACAAAAATTAGCCGGATGTGGTGGTGCACACCTATAATCCCAGCTACTTGGGAGGCTGAGGTAGGAGAATCACTTGTACCTGGGAGGCGGAGGTTGCAGTGAGTCGAGATGGCGCTCTGCACTCTAGCCTGGGAGATACAGCGAGACTACATCTCAAATATCAAAGAAAAAAACAATGTATTGGCTGCATTCTCCCCTTCTGTTTCCACAAACCTGTCAGAGAGGCATGGAGGGGACAGTGGTCTGGGGAGTAGTCCTATTGGTCTGTGATCAAGTATCCACATCAGGGAGTAGCCCTCTATCACCGGGCAGGCAGACGGCTGCTACCAATACCACTGCCACTGCTTTCAATTCGAACGAAGGTTATTTTTTAAAGCATCCATGGCCTAGAGTTCAGTGCTTTGGGATCTCTCTCACATATGCACCTGGGATAACTCTACACGCACGCACCCCAGACGAGACCAGCAGGCCCACCTCCACTGGGTTACAGATGGACCAACAGCAAGGAGTTGAAGGAAAGCAAGACTGAGAATCGGGCAGGAAAGAAACAGGATGTCAGAGGCGAGCTCAGTTCTTTAATTCACCCACTCAACCAATGTGTACTAGAGATACGGCAGTAAACGCAAGAAAAAGAAAAAAGGTAACACGTGTAAGGTTCTCAAACTTGAACAGGCAACAGAATCACCTGGGAGCTTAAGACTGACTGCGGAACCCACCCCCAGAATTTCATGGAAAGCCCTCCTTATATGGTAAGTGCATAATAAAAATGGCATTATTGCTATAATTAAACGGCTCCCAAACTGGGAAAGCACTATTACAAATGTGGGAATTGTTTGATGTCAATCATTTGGTGCTTACGTAACACTAACTAAAAGTATCACAAAACACAATATCATATAAAAAATAAATTACCTTCATTAAACAGAGTGTTGGCCTCTTCAAGGACCTCTGTTAATTTGTCGCCGGCATTTAGTATGTCCTCCCGGTTTTCTATTTAAAAAAATACAAACTTTGGGAAACTAGCTCAGTATTCACTAATAAGAAATTGACAAAGTTATCGCCTACAACAGTAAAGCCAAGCCGTGGCCCCTGCGCCCTGAGTAACTTTAACCAAAATGGTCCGAAAAAAGAGAAAGGCGACTCTACCCTTTACGCAGCATGAATTTTAAAAGGAAACCCTGGCTCCCTCAAACCTTAACCCAAAGGGCTGGACTCCGGCTGCAGCCTCTGAGTGCTCCACAACCGAGTGGTTCTCAGACTTTGCAAACAACACCATCAAGATATCTCGAGGATCACTGCACAGCTGGGCGGGTCCACCTAGAGAATCGGATTCCCTGGGGCCGGGTGGGGTCCGAGAACGTGCATTTGACAACTCTCGCGCGCCGCTACCGCTGCGGGGGCGGGAGCCCATGCAGAGGACCGCCGGGAGCAATCAAAGCACGCAGAGTCCGCGTCCTGCCTCTCCCCACCGGCTGGCTGGGCTCGGGAGGGTCGGCGAACGGCTCTGGCCTCCAGCTTTCCCAGCCGGTTACTCCGGGACCCGCGCGCTCCCCGCCAAGGTTGCGCAGCTCCAGCCACAGAACTGTGGGAGCACTCTGTCAACAAATTAAGGTGCGGAGTGCGACGAGGGGCTTGCTCCCCGCGCGTCTGGATCCGCGCTGCCGGGGCCTGCGCCCGACATCTGCCTCCGCGCCCTCCCCACCGCGCCCGGCGCAGCGCGGGGACCGCGGCCCTGCCCGCACCGCACGGAGGCGCCACCTTACGTTGAACGGAGTTGATGAGCGCCCGGTACTGATGGCGGATCTGGCGGCACAGGCCTTGGTCGGCCTCCTCCTCCAAGCTGGCCGGGTCTATCATCTCGTCATCGGAATCCGACGGCTCCGTGTCCTCCAGGCTCGGGCGTTCTGGGGCCTCCCTGCGCTCCAGCGCGGCGCCGCGGCGGGCCCCGGGCGACAGCGGGGACCGCGAGCGGGAGCGGGTGCGATCCCGGTGCGGCTCGCGGCCCCGGCCCCGGCCCCGGCCCTGGCCCTCGGGCCCGCGGCCGCTGCTGTCCCCAGACATCGCGCCAATTCGCCGTGCAGCTTCAGAACGGCGGAAGTTCGCGCCAGAAACTGAAACCCCTGCTCTGCGCGAGCGCGCGCTCCCAGCGGAACGCGGCTCCAGGCCCCGCGCGAGCACACAGCGACGCCTGTGGCGGGAGGCCGGCTACCGGGCGGCTGCCGGAACCGCCGGGTGCACGGGAGGGGCCTGGAGGGGATCCTCTGTTCCCTTGACAGGTGCAATGAGCTCCCCCTTACTCCACACTGCAGGGCCGTGAGAATCTTGGTTTTCTGGCCCCCTTTCCCACCCCACTGGACCTGCATCTTCCCTGGGTTCCTTTGCCTGCCCAGGACACAGCCACAGCCTGGCACCAGCATGGGCATGAGGTGCATATGTGTTGAGCGAGGTTCCTGCCGTGGAGCAGGATGAGCGCAGGACGTGGAGACGAGAAGTTCTCTGCTGCTCACCTGTGACTTAAGAGGTAAAGTCAGTCTTGCAGATAAGGGGACACAGCTGAATGATAGGGGAAAGGTTAACCAAATACCAGGCCATGCTCTTAGGCAATCCAGATGTAACCCTTAAAACCTGTAACACGGCCGGGCGTGGTGGCTCACGCCTGTAATCCTAGCACTTTGGGAGGCCAAGGTGGGTGGATCACCTGAGGTCAGGAGTTCAAGACCAGCCTGGCCATTATGGTGAAACCCCATCTTTAAAACAAAACAAAACAAACAAACAAACAAAAAACCTGTAACACACTGAATTCAGTTTTATTGCTGCCCACAGGCCCAACAGCAGATCATTCCTGCAAGCAGGTCACTGCACACACGTTAGCTGGCCTGATTTAAAAGACCAGCCTCTTGGCCGGGCACGGTGGCTCACGCCTGTAATTAGTTTCCCTGTGCCATCATGGCTGGGATTGGGAGGGCAAGTGGATGAATCGAATGTTTATGTGCAGCTGGCAATACCACCTTTTGTAAGTATGGCAGAACAAATTAACAGGTAAACTCTGTTAACCATCCTTCTAAATATCTACAACACAATGTCACCAGAACACCAGGGTTTTGGTCTAGGGTCCTGCTGCCCCCCTCACAGAAAGCCAGTCACGAAGACAACCATTATTACTAAGGAACAAGGCTTTAGCCGGGTGCTGCACTCAAGGAGATGAGAGCTCAGTCTCAGATCCATTGCCCTGCCCAACTAAAATCAGGAGTTTATACAGTTGCAGGGAAGCAATGTAACAATGTGTGGCAAAACAGGAACTCAGGAGAGGGAATGAAGCTGTGGGGACTTAGGAGAGGGCCTGGTGTCCATCGGATGCAGTCACCGGGTGAGTTTCAGTTTTTTGATACTTTGAGAGGCCTCAGGGATCCTTTCCTGAGGAAGGAACTCAGATTAGAGAAATGTAAGTTTCAGCCTTAAGACTAGAAAAGGCCGGGCGCGGTGGCTCAAGCCTGTAATCCTAGCACTTTGGGAGGCCGAGGCGGGTGGATCACGAGGTCAAGAGTTCGAGACCATCCTGGTCGACATGGTGAAACCCCGTCTCTACTAAAAATACAAAAAATCAGCTGGGCATGGTGGCGTGTGCCTGTAATCCCAGCTACTCAGGAGGCTGAGGCAGGAGAATTGCCTGAACCCAGGAGGCGGAGGTTGCGGTGAGCCGAGATCGCGCCATTGCACTCCAGCCTGGGTAACAAGAGAGAAACTCCGTCTCAAAAAAAAAAAAAAAAAAAAAAAGACTAGAAAAGATAATTTCTAAGTTTATCCGAATAAATAAATAAATAACTGTCTATAGGACTGTTGGGTTGGTCTCAATGACAGTCTGTGTTCACATTTGATTCTTTTTTTGTTTGTTTGTTTGTTTTTGAGACAAGGTCTCATTCTCTTGCTGAGGCTGGAGTGCAGTGGCGCAATCTCAGCTCGTTGCAAAGCCCAAACCTCACCTCAAGTGATCTGCCCACGTTGGTCTCCCTGTGTGCTGGGATTGCAGGCGTGAGCAGGCATGGCCTGATTCTCAAACTAGAAGATTCTAAGAATACCTCCTGAAGGGCCCAAGAAAAATGGAATTATATTCAGTATACTTTGAAAGATAAATGTATGAATTTCATCCCATGTATTTTGGATAGTATTCGAGTATTGTTTCTTAAAAGTTCTCTTTGGTGCCAAGAGCACATTTTCTCGAAGGAACAATATTACACGTTGGGTTACCACACAACCTACAAAGAGACCATTGTGTCCACCATGTCAACTAAACTTGAGTTAGGCAGTATTCATTGCCGTCCAACAGTTACTACGTCACCCACCCCTGGTTACCTGTATTTCAGGAAGGGCACATGTGTGCGCCTGCTTCCTTAGATGAAACGTGATGGCTCTAACCAGGTCCCGGTAATCTCATTCCCCTTCCCCAGTGACTGGTCTAGGGTCATGTGATGCACTCTGGGTCTGTAAGATGTGAGAGGGCTTCCCAACTGGATAGAACACAAAGCCTCCAGAAAAGAAAACCCTTGACCCTTCTGCCCCTTTGAGATGGCTGGTATAAGAATGTGGGGCTGCCATACTGGCAGCATCTGGTACTCCTAAGGTGACAAGCATGAGGAAAGACCAGAGTGCTGGGGACAGTGGAGAGCAAAGATGGACATGGCTGAATTGCTGAATCAACCACATACCTCCGGACTCCCTGAAAAGTAAGCCATAAACCATGGTTTAAACCACGGTTGTTTTGTAGTTGTTGCTTGTAGCTCAGTGTTCTGTAACGGAGACTTAGCATTCTGGGTGCAAGTTCATTCCAAGCTCCACACCAAAAATACCTGAAGTAGGCCCGGCATGTTGGCTCACACCTGTAATCCCTGCACTTTGGGAGGCCGAGGTGAGTGGATCACCCGAGGTCAGGAGTTCGAGACCAGCCTGGCCAACATGATGAAACCCCATCTTTATTTAAAATACTGCAAATTAGCTAGGCGTGGTGGCAGGCGCCTGTAATCCCTGCCACTCAGGAGGCTGAGACAGGAGAATCACTTGAATCCAGGAGGCAGAGGTTGCAGTGAGCCAAAATTGCGCCACTGCACTCCAGCCTAGGCAACAAGATCCAAATCTCATCTCAAAAAAAAAAAAAAGAAAGAAAAGAAAAAAACCTGAAATAAGTCATTCTATTCAAGAGTATTTAAGGTGTACTCATAGGATAGACACCCTACAAAGCACAGCAGGGCACACAGATAATTCAGGTACACTTGCCTTTGCCTTCCAGGTATCACCAGAAGACAGGCATGAAACTGATTCTAAAATTCACGTGGGGAGCCAGGTGTGATGGCTCATACCTGTAATCCCTGCACTTTGAGAGGCCAAGACAGGTGGATCACTCGAAGCCAGGGCTTTCAGACCAACCTGGGCAACAAAGCAAGACCCTGTCTCTGCAAAAGATAAAAAATAAAAAATAAAAATTAGCCAGGCATGGTGCACACCTATAGTCCTACTGACTCTGGAGGTAGAAACAAGATGATCACTTGAGCCCAGGGGTATGATGCTTCAGTGAGCTATGCTCATGCCACTGCACTCCAGCATGGGTGACAGAGTAAGACCTTGTCTTAAAAACCAAAATTATATGGAGGCCGGGAGTGGTTGGCTTACGCCTATAATCCCAGCACTTTGGGAGGCCGAGGAGGGTGGGTCATGAGGTCAGGAGATCGAGACTATCCTGGCCAACATGCTAAAAGCCTGTCTGTACTAAAAATACAAAAAAATTAGCTGGGCGTGGTGGCACACACCTGTAGCCCCAGCTACTCAGGAGGCTGAGGTAAGGGAATTGCTTGAACCCAGGAAGCGGAGATTGCAGTGAGTCGAGATTGCGCACTGCACTATAGCCTGGGAGACAGTGTGAGACTCCGTCTCAAAAAAAAAAAAATTATATGGAAATGCAAGGGACCCAGAATAACCGAAACAATCTTGAAAAACATGGACAAATTTGGCAGGACTCAGATTTCTTAATTTCAAGATAATACAAAGCTATATAATCGAGACTGTGTGGTATTGTCTTGAGGATAAACATATAGATCAAAGGAATGGAATTGAAAGTCCAGACTTAATTCATTTATGGTTAACTGATTTTCAACCAGGGTGCCAAGACAATTCAATAGGGAAAGAACAGTCTTTTCAACAAATAGTAGTGGGACAATTGGATATGTGTATGCAAAGGAGTGAAGCTAGACCCTTCCTTCACACCATACATAAAAATTAACACAAATAGATGGACCCAAATGTAAGCAAATAATGTAAAACTCTTAGAAGAAAGCATAGCTGTAAATCATTGTGGCCTTGGGTTAGGTGATGGTTTTTTTAGATAAGACACCAAAAGCATCAGCAACCGCAGGATTAAAAATAGATGAACTGGAGACAAAGTTTGGGATAATTTGTTACAGCAGCCATAGGAAACAAATCCAGGTGCCCCGGTTGAGCAACCATGGGAAGATATTACCACCCCAAGGCCTAAAGGGTCCGCAGGAAGCCGGGCGCGGTGGCTCACACCCGTAATCCCAGCACTTTGGGAGACCGAGGTGAGTGGATCACTTGAGGTCAGGAGTTCGAGGCCAGCCCAGTCAACATGGTGAAACCCTGTCTCTAATAAAAATACAAAAAATTAGCCAAGCATGGTGGCATGTGCCTGGAATCCCAGCTCCTGGGGAGGCTGAGGCAGGAGAATCACTTGAACCAGGGAGGCGGAGGTTGCAGTGAGCCGAGATCGTGCCGCTGCACTCCAACCTGGGAGACAGAATGAGATGCTGTCTCAAAAGAAAAAAAAAAAAACATCCAAAGGAAAAAGCAGTGTTATCAGAGCCCCATGTAGACTGAAGCCATCAGAAGGAGCAGCCAGATAGGCATTCCGGTTCTAGAGTTTGCACCCTGGCAGGACCATGATTCTAAGCAAAGAGTTAATGAGGGAAGAAATACCCTGATCTTATCCTTCCAACTTCTATTCCCCTGCTTTTACCTCTTGTTGGCTGAGACCAACAGGATGCAAGAGGGCAGGAGAACCTGGTGATGCAGTCTCATAGGCCCGTCCCTGAGCAGAGCAGGACCGAGAAAGATGGAGATGGATTTGAGGTGGGAATGGGGACAAATGGAGAGTAACCGGCCTTGTGGGTAAAGGCTCTGCCAGGGACTATTTTGCTAGGTA